GCGCTAGCTTGAGCGGCTGGCTTCGTTATAAAGCCTGCGGCGCTAGCTTGAGCAGTTAGCTTGATTCCTTGGCCTGCAGCGCATGCTTGAGCGGGTAGCTTCATTCTATAGGCTGCGGCTTGAGTGACTAACTTCATAATAACGTCCTTACACGGAAATCCACTCCGAAACGCGCTTTCCGAGCAAAAAGCAAAACAACTAAAATGTCCGAGGATCGAACCTCCGATGGTTAGATTAGCACGGCGAAACGCTAACCACTACACCATGCAATGCTTGGTAGCACGCGCCAAACACCCGTTTTATGCCTCAAGAGGACTGCCCGGGGCAGGGGAAGGAAAGGCATCGAGAGGCAGATCCAAAGAGACGACCAAACTCGCGAGTGCAACTGGCAAGAATGAGGAAATTTGTATTTTTCCGCATTATGCAAATTAGCCCTCAGGGACCCCCAAAAATGAATAAAACCGGCTTTAACTTTGTTAACTTGTTTTTTATCGGGATTCTGAAAGCGCCATCGGAAAGAGGAGGGTCGATTCCCCCGGGTGACGGAGAATTAAGACATTTTATGCACGGGAAGGCCCTCAAATCGGGCCTCGAAAGTGACGGCCGGACACACACACAGACAAAGATACGCGACCAAATTATATAAGGTAGGAAGTTATAAGGCTTTAAGGTTTAGCTGTTATGCATCTTCGCAGTTTATAGCCGACGCCCTAGATTACCGGCTTTGGGCCTTTGTGGGTGGCTGATGATGATCGTACGCCGAGTGCGCGCAAAACAAGGCGGCTTCGCAAAAGGTGTTGCCGGTTTTTTTTACTCTTTCGGGTATTTTTCGCCCTCTTTACCTCCTTTCTTGCAGATAAAGGCATTTTGCAGGCGATAATTGTTGGGGGATGACGTGTGTCAGCATCGCGTCGCCACCGCGGAAAAAAGGAGGCACGACGGCGCCTCGCACACTAATCGCCCCGGCTGACGAGCGGCGAAATGGGGGGCAAAAAGCTTAATTGGGGGAATTTTCGCCTTTTGCAACCTTTTGTCAAATTTTTTCAAGGTTTTTCTACTTTAAAATAGGTAAAACTTGACAGAAACAATTTAAAAAGCCTTATGCTAAAAATTCCTATAAAAACACGTTTGGATGCTAGCTGCAATTTGCTGCCGATGGGAGGGCAACTTACAACACTTTCACAGCGGTTACAACGCCAAGAAATGTCCCGAAGGAGGGTTGTGCCAAGAAGATGGAGCTCCTAACTCGGCAATAATTCCGATCAATAAATCTCGGATAGTTGAGAACAGTTTGTTCTTTGAACAATGTTTTTCTACACATTCAATAGTGCTCTTTCCGATGTGATACACAAGAAACCCGCGAAAAATCGTTTTTGACCTGTTTCGAGCCCTCCTTCTTACAACTCGACTTTTCCCGAGTGCGCTTTCTAAACAAATGCTTCTAGGAAAATAAGTTTGTGGTTTTCGCACAAGAAACTGATGATTGCTGATGTAATCGACTCCGTAGATTCTAGATCCGCTACTGAAATACGCCGAAAACCGCCTTTAAAGGCCCGTCGAAGGCTACCTGCTCGATTTCCGGAAATGATTTCTAGACACCCAATAAAAATCCGGAAAACACTTATTCCGGCTAATTTGACATTGGAGATTCCAAATATCACAATGGCGCACCCCAAAAACGGCACAGAAAAAAAAAGTTTGTTTTTGACCGTGTTTTAGGGTAAAAAGTTATTCGCGATTTTGACCCTTAAAATCAAATTCTTCGGCTCCAAAAGTGTCAAATTCGGAATCAGCGTGTAATTTTACATCTAGTAAATTGTAAATTGAAGTTTTAAGGCCGGGGATTTCCGGGAAATCGCTCTAGAAGGTCGGAAAAACGAGGGTGATAAACTTTTGTCCGTTACTGTAGATGACGCCAGGAGAAAGACGAAACCCTGGTAGAAGGCCAGAATATTACTAGGAAAACAGTAATTTGGGTGAAATAAGTTTACTACAGAATATTCTACACTGGGAGACGAGGAGAGTGTGATTTGAGACTAGGGAAAAAGTTAAAAGCAGTCACGGTGACGGGGGGAAGTGGTAGAAACTAGGCGACTGGGTGAAAGGGGGAATCCAGCAGCAACGGGGCGCGGAAACCCCCAAAAAATCCGCGACTGACTGGGACACGGCATCTCATGGCCCGCAATGACGAAATGTAATTCCGGGCTCTTTTGAGCGAAAATCCTAAGGGAAAAATCTTTGATGGCTTATAACTTTTTATTTAGATTCTGACTTCAGAAAGTGGATTTCCCGAGTTGTAGAAGACAATGCGCTCTTTCGAATGTGACTAAATAGGTAGAAAACTGAACTCAAAAACTAGTTGCACCAAGGCTCTGAAGTTTCCGGTTTTAGACTAGAGTTTGGTTAAAGACGGGGTGTCGCGTAGCCCCATTTCGCCCAAATTCCCGGTTTTTCGTTGCGGCCCAAACCATTGCTTGAGTTGCCGGGGGACGGAGCCCGCTCGCTGTGCGGCTCTACGATCCTTGGACGCGCTCTTGGCCGCGGCAACAGTATGGCGGCGTACTCTTGTTCAAGGGGGCACGGGCGAAGGGGAGCAGGGGGCTCTACCCAACTGGTTGGTTTCTTAGCGGGCGGGGGGGGAAGGAGGCCACGCCCGCTCCCCTTTCCCAATGCACCCTGCCTGCCCGGCAATTAGTAAAGTACACCCGGTACACCCGGTACACCCATTTGCGTAACTGCCCACCCACACGCATTATGGGCAGTTGCGCAAACGTGTGTACCGGGTGCACCGGATGTACTTTACAAAGCGGTGGAAAAAGACCGCTTCGCGGCTTTTTTTCCACTGGACGCCGTCCAGGAACCATGAGTTTGATACCGATTTTTTAGCCTTCTGCGCAAGAAGCTGGGTCAAGAAACCATTCTTTGGCTTGCGGCGCCAGAGCCAGCTTTGCGCTAGAATCTTTGAGCCTGCGGCGCTAGTTACTGGCGCTAGTTACGGCGCAAGATCCAGGATGTGGCCTGCGGCGCGGGAGTCTGGGTCAAGGGCCCATTCTCTGGCCTGCGGCGCCAGAGCCAGCGTTGCGCTAGCTACTGCTTTTTCTCCCGCGTTTGGCCTGCGGCGCGAGAGCGTAAGTAACGGACCTTTTCATTGGCCTGCGGCGCCAGGTCTTGACCGGGCCGTGAGGCCCGGTCAGACATAAGGTCAGAGCGAGGGTCAAAAAATTTTCCACTCACTGTAAGGTGTTTTTACTCAAGTTGGAGTTTCGATTCGGGACTAAGTGCATCTTGTGCAGAATTTTTTGCTGATTCCGAATCCGTTTTCCAAATTTGCTGCGGACTTTTATTTAAAAAGTCATTTTTGGTGCAAATCCTACTATATATAAAAAAGTAGTGTCTGTGTGTGTGTGTCGATTTACATGCAACTTCCGTCTGTATGTCCGGAGGATAACTCAATAGGGGATGAATATTAGGGTACATATGATACATCATTAGGTGCGTAATGGTTCTGCGATGACTGCACGCATAACAGAATTATCGAAATACGCTATTTTCGATATTAAAAACAAGTTTTTCTAAAATTTTCGAGAACTCTCTTTGGTAGGAAACAATTAGCATATACCGGAAGTAGAAGAAGCCTATAAAAAGGGATGGAAGGAAATCTTTTCATTTTTGTCAGCTTGATTGGGGCTGAATTATGCAAAGTTTACAGTTTCATTTGTCCAAACGGGGCCAGGGTTGAAAAGCCGCTTCGCGACTTTGCAACCCTGGTTAACCTTGAAAAAGCCAAAAACTCGGATTCTGGCCCACTATTCCTCCGTAGTTCGTTCTTCCCCAGGGGCCCTGAAGTACACGCTCACAGCTCCATTCCCAGTTGGCACCATGGTGCATTGGCAAAGTACTCGCTTGCCAAGCGCAGGGCGGCGTTTCGGATCCCCGCCCTGCATCTTTCTTTTGCTTTTTGCATAGAAAAATCTAATTTTTTTATAAAAAAGCTTGTTTTGACGTTTAGATGCTTGCCCAGCCAATCTCCAGCCAATTTCGAAGTTGAAATTGATCAGGAAAATCGAAAACGATAACGGTTCCTTGATTTTGATGCAAAACACTACCATAATTGCTGTATAACTTTCAAAACAAAAGTCCGCAGCAAATTTGGAAAGCGGATTCGGAATCAGCGAAAAATTCTGCACAAGTTGCACTTAATCCCGAAACGAAACTCCAAGTTGAGTAAAAACACTTTACGGTAAGACCCAAGTTCTTTAATCTAAGTATAACGACAACTAATAACTATCAACTATCATTATTTTCCAACTATTAATAAACATAAAAACATTAGAAACTGTATTTTCAAAATAAAAACATGCGGGATCCGGTCAATGGTAAAGCTCGGATAACCATTATTGACCGTTTTGTAGATCCATTGTATCGATTTTTCGTCAAATATTGAACTATGGTGTTCAGAGATCCGTTGGATAAACGAAATTCGGTTAGAGATCATGCAAGAAGTGTCTTCTAGTCCATTCAGGCACAAAAAATCATAGGATTGCCGCCTGCCCTGACCTGCCCCCCGTTAACGAACCCGACTCTTTTAAATCCGTTTCTTGTCGCCTAGGCAGGCTAGCAGAGACTTTTTGAAAAGGGTGGGGCAGGCGAGCAAAGATCTTTGAGGAAAACGCTGACTTTTTGGGGGAATTTTTCTAACAACTTTTGGAGTAAGAAAACAACTTTTCTTATAAGTTTTCGACCACGGCGAACATTCGATGTACTCGACGCATTAATAGGATATATGGCTGAAGAGCTGGGCTGGGGGGGGTACACTGAACTGCAACCTGTTGACAATTAGCATTAGATTAGATTAGCATTGCGCTTCTGCGATTTTCGGTGCATGTCCGGTTGCATGGACAAGGGATCGGCTGGGCCCCCCTGTGGATCATTCACTCCAATCCTCCCCATTCAACCCCAGCCGCTCTCTTTTTCTGCTTCTGCTGATTCGCCGCTCGCTGATGCTGCTCACGATGCGCGTGCTCTTCCTCATCTCCGTCGTCATCTCCGTCCAGGCTGAAACGACACCGGCCTGGGAATTTGGTATGCCGTCAAGAAAAATAACCAGAAAAACATAGAAAAAAGATAAGTGTACGGGAAAAGTCTAGTTTACATATCTCCCTCTCCCAGCCCTAGCCCCTCAGCCATAAGGTCCATTCGTAAGACCCCAGACTCAACCCTACTGTAACCTCGTAAAATGCGATTTTTCGCCTGGGATAAATAGATCTCGTAGAGTTCTTGCATTTACAGTTGGAAAACCTTTGGGAAAGTTGTTGGGAGGAGACTACACTATATTCTTGCATTTACAGTTCCAGATCTATCGATTCCAGTCGAAAAATCGACATTTTATTTAGTTACCGTAAAGTGAAATTTAGCCATAACCTTTTTTTTAGTGACACAGGAATGTGACGTGGGAACTAAGGATTGCAAGTCGCCGCCGGACACGGAGCCCCCTGTGGCCGGGCGGCTCTGGTTTAGCGTCAGAGACGAGAAGAAGGATACCATCTTTTACTACAGTCGGTTTATCACTCTTTACAAGAAAAGTTTGGCTTTCCGAAAGCTTGAGTCCTTCGGACCCTCCCATCTCACGACCACCCTGGCAAGAATGAGGAAATTGCTATTTTTTCCCATTATGTAAATTAGCCCTCCCGACCCCCAAAATAAATTTGAGTAAAACCGGCTTTGAAGGGGCTCGGAAGTCAAAATTCGCGCGTTCGGGAATTGAACCTACTGATCAAAAAACGAAAATATTGCCGCCGAAAAGTCCCAGGAAACGGATTTTGTCGCGAAAAACGCAAAATATTTGTGAAAAACCGAAAGGTTTCGGGCCGAAACGACTTTTTGGGTTTGTAAGGCACCCAATCTCTCGATTTCGGTGCTTCTCTGATCAATTTTCATAATTAAAACAGCTAGAATCATCAAAATTGCGTGAGGATTCCAGAAATAACGCCAGAATTTTGAAATTCTTACGTTTTCCCTTCCAAACAAGCACCAGAGAACATGCGACGCGGTCGCGTTGCGGCCGAATCTGGCTATTTGCCAGGAATCAACGCAGGGGGGCCGTGGACCAGATTTCGGAGCCCCTTTAACCTTGTAAACTTGAAGTTTCAGACTGCGGCAGCGGTCAACTGGGAGCGCAAAATGCCAAACCACCGGCTTGTTGAAGCATACAGTAGCGGTCAAAAAGATGTCCCCTCGGCAGATCGCTTGGTGCTCGTAAACTACAGGCCCAAATTTTATGAAACCTCGTGTCTAGGTCAATTCGGCTGCGCAGAATCCGATGGCGACATTGAAACCTATTGAAAATTTTATTTTAATGGTCAAACTTCGATTTCAAAAAAATCTGTAAAAAGCAACTTTTTCATGGGGGATTTTCGGGTTTGAAAAATGTGTCCATCGTGTTCGCAAGGGTCGAAAACCACTCGTCCGTTATTTTACGACACTTTTTCTGCCGGGGCCTGACCATGCTGACGGCCGAAAGTTGCTGTCGCGCGGGCCAAAATCCTTTGGATAGGCTTACGGGGGCCAGGAAGCGCCCCGCGGCGACAACTTCTCGGCCTCATAGTAGCGATCTTCAAAGAGATAAATGTTTAGAAACCTGTTCGAGATGGGTTTTCTACCCTTGCGAACACGATGGACACATTTTTGAAACCCGAAAATCCCTCAGGGAAAAAGTACATTTTGCCGATTTTTTTAAGAATTAAAATTTGATCACTAAAACCAAATTTTCAGCCGATTTCAAGTTCACAATCGGATTTTCCGTATCAAAATCGACCTCGTGGCAGAGTTTCATAAAATTTGGGCATGTGGTTTAAGAGCACCAAAGGATTTCCAGGGACATCTTTTTGACCGCTACTGTAGGTTGTCGCACCCTGTGCGATCCCTTTATTGTCTGCTACCCGCCAATCCGGAGTCTTCCGGAGTCTATATTCTACCAGCCGATTACAGCCGCTTCGCGACTGTAATCGGCTGGCCTTCGGGCTACCCTCCATTTTCTACGCCACCACATTACACCTCTACCTTAATCAATACCCACGCCCACCTTCAGAACCTTCACTAGCCAACCCCCGGCAAAAACTTAAATTACCTACCTATACTAACTACCAGAAACCACTTAACTAACTAACTACATACCTAAACTACATAGATGCCCCTTCCTCATCGCGCTGGCTGGGGGGTTATCTGGAGTCTTACCTTTTTTTATTATAGTTGATTCCGACATATTTTGATGTAAGGAAACAACTTTTTTATAGTAATTCGACCACGGTGAACATTTCGAGATACTCAGTGCATTAATAGGTCGCATGGCCGAAAAGTACGGCTGCGGGGGGATTTTACGCGGGCGGGGGGCTGTTGTGACCGACCTAACTATTTTTGTGTTTCTTTTGCTACAACAAAAATCTTAGTATCAATCCTAGTATCGACAATATCAATATCGGGAAAGACATGTCCGTTCTGTCCCCCCTCCCCCCCCCCCGGGTAAAATCGTCACCCCCCCCCCCGCGTAGTCGACATATACCCGTAACCTTGACAACTTTTTTAGCTAAAACTGCGCTTTAGTGAACGTTCGCTATAGTGAAAAACCGGTATTATGATGGGCATTTAGCTCTGCAGTTCAGGCTTGTTTTGGGACACCCTGTACTGGCTCGGTATTCCTAGCGTGCGGCCTCGTTGAAATATTCTGCCTGTCGATGAACGACGAGACGCTGACGGACGACAAGATCGGCTGCTACGATGAAGACCCCAATGGCCAAAATGGGTGTCAATGTGGTACGTCATGTCTATTATAAGTAAACAATTAAATGCCGGTGGGTTCTGGACTGTTAGTGGGGGGGTGAAACCAAATTTTTCGCTGTGTTGCTCTATAGCCCTATAGCAATCCACACGATTTTTATAGGATTTTGACATCGGTTTTAGATATACAAAAAAACAATTTTGAAAGAAATTTCGAAATTTAAGAATTTCTCGAACATTTTTTACTTTGGGCACAAATGTATGGAAAATGGCGTAAAAGCAAATTTTGGAATTTTAAAAATACTACCAGGGTTGAAAAGCCGCTTCGCGACTTTTCAACCCTGGCCCCGTCTAACCCTATGATCTTCTTCTTTCTGCATAATTGTGCCCAATTCCGATGACAAATAAGGAAAAACGCTCCCTTCGTGCCTTTATATAGGCTATTGCAACTTCCGGCGTATGCTAATTTTAAACTAACAATGGGTGTCGGAATTTTTAAGAAATACCAGGGTTGAAAAGCCGCTTCGCGACTTTTCAACCCTGGCCCCCGTCTAACCCCATGGCATTCGACAATTTGCATAACTCTCTCTCATTCCGATAACAAAGAAAAATGAAAATCACTTCTCTCCGCTCCAAAATATAGGCTCGCACTACTTCCGGGCTATGTTAATTGCTTCCTAACAAAGAAGCCACCCGATCCTACTATATACAAAAAAATAGTGTCTGTGTGTGTGTGTGTGTGTGTGTATATTTGCATGCACTTCTGTTTGGATGTTCCGCTCCTACAGGTTCAGGGAAGCATTTTTTCGGTAGGGAAGAAACGTCATAGGGTAAAGAAGGGGATGGAATCGACTGCACCCACATAAAATCTTTGAAAAATTGCTATTTTTGCTATTAAAATTAGGTTTTTGTAAAAATATTGGCTTTGCTCTTTGTTAGGGAAAAATTAGCATAAGCCGGAAGTGAAGGGGGCTTATAAAAAGGAAGGGAGGGCGTGGTTTTCATTTTTTGGTTGTTGGTTTTCGGTAAGAATTATGCAAAGTTTCATAGATCCTAGACGGGGGCCAGGGTTGAAAAGCCGCGAAGCGGTTTTTCAACCCTGGTTTTTTAACAAAAACCTAATTTTAATGTCGAAAACAGCCTAACTTGTAAAATATGATATGCGTGCAGGCATCTCCAGGCCATTACGCATCTAATGACGTATCGTACGTAACCCAACGCCCTTCCCATCTTGAGATATCCTCCGGACACGGTGACGGAAGTTACATGCAAAGTGGCACAAACACACACACACACACAGACACTACTTTTTTATATATAGTAGGATATAAAAAAACCAGCCGATTACAGCGGCTTCGCGACTGTAATCGGCTGGACTTCGGGCTACCCTCCAGGTTCTACACCACCAGGGACGTAGCGTAAGGTGGGCCCCTGGATGCCCCCCGAAATCGGCCGGGGCCCCGAAAATTTCATAAGGGGGGACCCTTATGATTTTTATTTTTTTCGAAAATTTTGCTGCCTGCGGCGCTCTTTGCTCACGTTTTTACTGCTATTTGTAGAGTTATGTAGCCTCTTTTCCCAAAATTTTTCGCCTGCGGCGCTGTTTTCTCGTGAATTTTTTGAGTTTTCGCAAAAAAATTTCGGGGCCCCCCCCCCGAAATTTTTTTCTGGCTATGCCCCTGTACACCACCACATTTCATCCCTACCTTACGCTGATGCCTTCATGGCAAGGTTTTCGAGAACCTGCTGGCTTCAGATACCTCCTCTAGCCAACCCCCCCTCCCCCCCCTCCCCCACAAAAACATAGCTACCTTCCCGATGACTTCAGATACCCCTCCGAGCAGAAATTCCCTTAAAAAACTACCTAAATACCTTCCTGATGGCTTCAGATACCCCCCATAGCCGAAATCCCCTTCAAAAACTACCTAAATACCTTCCTGATGGCTTCAGATACCCCCCATGGCTGAAATCCCCTTCAAAAACTACCTAAATACTTTCCTGATGGCTTCAGATACCCCCCATAGCCGAAATCCCTTTCAAAAACTTCCAAAATACCTTCCTGATGGCTTCAGATACCCCCCATAGCCGAAATCCCCTTCAAAAACTACCTAAATACCTTCCTGATGGCTTCAGATACCCCCCATAGCCGAAATCCCCTTTCAAAAACTTCCAAAATACCTTCCTGATGGCTTCAGGTACCTCCAGGGGCGTACACGAACCCGATTTTTGGGGGGGGGGGCAACTCGAAAATTTTTTGTCGACTTCCCCGGAATACCCCCGCCCCGGAATCCTAAAGAACCTTCAAAGGAATTTCGCAATTCATATGCCAATCGTGCATCAGATCGCCAAACTGAATACACGATCCTTAACCGGTGACACTTTTTGCATACCATAAGCTTTTAAAAATTGAAAAAGAGTGACATTTCGAATTTTAACAGCCGATTTAAATTGCGTTTCGAGGGGGGGGGGTCTACGTTTGTACGTCTGTATGCCCGAAAAACCTTTGTCGTCGTCAAAATCTGGCTTCCCACCATCCGTTTGGGCTGAAATTTTTTACAGTTATTGGGTGAATGATAATCTCGGACGGCAATAAGAGTTTTTTTCAAAATAGGCTTTAAAAAATTTATATTTAATTTTTAAGTTTAAAAGCTAAATTGCGGCCAAAACAAGGGTTAGTGATTTCGCTTAGGTCCGTTTCGGCTGATATTTCGCTCAAAGATGCATTAGACCTTGCCGGACAAAGTAAAAAAGAAATTGCATCGAAAGAATGATTCCCTTTTGAGTTATTATAACTTTAAAAGGCCGTTTGCGGGAGTACCGAAATAGGCTTGGCATATTTTTTTCGACCCTGTTTTTTTTTGACGCCATCGGATAGAGCATGATCGAATTAATGGGGGCATATAGTTTTGAAAGTTTAAAAAGTTGATTTTTGGGGTTTAAAGGGCCGTTAAAGTTGCCGACATCGAAAACTTAGCTCGAAAATTACGGGACCAAATTCGCTGAAAATTTGTGACAATACCTAATTTGGGATGGAGATCATTTCTCTAATACATTTCGAAACCTGAAAATGGCTGGAACTTACAAGGGAACCACATTGGCACGGTGGAATTTCGAAAAACGCTCGTGGCTACCCCTAGGTTTTCGACGACGGCGATTCCAACGAGCTTGTCAGAATTAGCTAACTCGACCTGTGGACAGAGATACAGCACTTCCGGAAAATGGTCAATTTACATTCGGAGGAATTAGCATTCACCTCAGAGTTTATGAGGCTTCCCATCTCAGAAGAATCACCAGTTGAATGGCCGGGTGGTAAGCGGCTAGCTGGTTAGGATACTGACCAGGGTTCGAATCCGTTCACGACTTTTTTGTTTTGCGTTGGGACGGAACTTTGAGCAAAATTACAAGCTTCTTCAAAACTACTCGTTCGTTTGAAAGGGCCGTCGCATGAAAGATGCAATTTCAAAACGTTTTTGTAGGAATCGGCCTCATCACCAACGAATAAAAGCTTTACTATGTGAAAAAATCGAAGCTTCCGTCCAAAAAGCCTCCGCCTTCGCCATGCGGGGCGCCACCCTCCCCTTTCTCGGCCCCCCAGGGCGGGTCTAGGTCCCCAAAGAGGTTCTTGGCTTCCCTCTTTGTTAGAGAGAATGTAGCATACGCCGGAAGTGGTTGTGGCTCATAAAAACGAAGGGAGGGTGCGGTTTTCATTTTTTAGTGATCGTTTTTCGGCAAGAATTATGCAAAGTCAATACTTTTATAGGTCCCAGACGGGGCCAGGGTTGAAAAACCGCTTCGCGGATTTTCAACCCTGGTAGATGCCTAAATCGTAAAAATCCGACACGACTGGGGACCGCTAGGTAGGGGTGGTTTTTTTGGGGCATCCTGTATGACGGGACCTGTCGATTTCAAGGGGAAACGATTCCGCATATTGGTTACCGTAAGGTTACCGCTTCAGTCACACCCTCCCAACCACCGATATTTTAGCGCCGCAGAAGGACGATATCTGGGAACTTAAGACGCCCGGTAGGTGCCAATTTACCATTGCCAGACCCCCACCTAAACCATGCTGGTTCTTTCGCATTATCGCCAGGGGGCAACTTTATTGCAATCCGCATTTTTCAAATATACAGGGTGTCCCAATCAAAAAGATCACGCTGTCATTTCGGCATTTCAATTCCGAACGACTTCAAATTTTGAACAGGGATGCGCAAGGGGATTTAAAATGTTCTCAGAAACTTTCAGCCCCCTAGCTACAGTAGTTTTCGGGGCGTGAAAATAAACTCTTACCGCCGCCCGAGATGATTTGCAGTGCACTCGGAGCTGCTGTCCCAGTGGAGGTCGGCACAGAAGCCGGGCGAATCGGTGGGTGGTTCTTAGGCCGGGCCAAGCTTGAGCGTAAAGGAAAGTGTTTTTGACCCAGGTCGCAAATTGCTATGTAATATACATCAATCCATAGAGAGTTGAAAATAAATATGAGGCTTAAATATTAGTTTTTTGCTGTACGCCTCTCCCTAAAAAGTTATTTAGGTATTAAAGTGACTTTTTTGCCAAAATTGCGATCGTTGAAGCCGAATAATCTGACCTTCCGAGTTGATTTCGCAAAAACAAACCTTGCGATCGTATTCAGAATTTTTTGCTCTATCCAATCAGCAATCTAACTCAAAAATTTTTGGAAAATCGGTAATTTCGAAAAAATTTACGATACGATGGATGGGCTCCTTTTTCTCTATGTAAATTTCGTCATTTTCGGGCTATTCCAGACTCTTGAACCATGTCTAAAGAGGTGACTTATCACTAATAAAATATACCATTCGAATCAGAAAAAATTCATAGATATCATAGATATCACCTCATAGATAGCAGGTAAGCCCAGATAGCAAACCAAAAATTTCGATTTAAAGAAAATAGGCCCAGGAACCATGGGTAATCTAATAACTTTTTAGAGAGAGGCGTTCAGCAAAAGCTAATATTTAAGCCTCACATTTATTTTCAATTACCTATCGATTGATGTATGTTACATCGCGATTTGCCACCTGGGTCAAAAACACTTCCCGTGTAAGCCTAAGACCAAGCCTAAACCTAATAAGCCTAATCCTCAGCCTAACCGAAGCCTAAGCTTAAATCTAAGCCTACGCGTGTAAGGTTTTAATACTCACAAAAACTTTTTTGAGTTTTTGAGGAAGTTGAAAGTAGGCTTTTGTAACTTTTTGGCACTAGAACACGTGTAAGTTCTTCAAAAACGTCGTGCAGCACTTTTTACACACGGACTCGGAATCGGCGTAAAATTCTGCACATGACAGGCTTGGTATGGTCTCGAAACTTCAGGATCACTCAAAAGACCCATTCTTCCAGAAGTGCGGCATCGTCATTGTCCGTCCGGACGACGTGTCGCCGACGTCGTCTGCCCGCCGGCTGCCCCTGTTTGCCAATGTGATCGTCGTCGTCGTTGCCCTCATCTCCCCCACCCGCTCTCTCATCTACTAGTGTTGATGCTCACCGATATATGTGCAATAAAAATGTTTACATTTTGGTTCACAGCTACTTCAATATGCGCAAATACAAGACCATCGGAAATCTTCGCTAAAACGATGAGGGGTACAATTCGGATAAGCGGGGGGAACCGAACTTTTTTCCGCCCAAGACTATGTTTATTATTTAAATAGTGGAAGTGTTTCTAAATTGTTTATAGCTATTCCTAAACATCAAAACTTTGCAAAAATTAATTAAAAAATTTATTTTGACGTCGAAAAATCAATTTTTTCCGCCCAAAAATGACCAGATTTTCGACTTTTTCCAGTGTTTTTCTAACTTTTTAAAGAGTTTTTCCGATTCAAATAGGCTTAAATTTTGCTAAAAACGATGTGAAAACACTTTATATTTGATTCCTATCCCCAGCAGGGCCGACAAAAAGAAAAGTTGGTTTTGCCCCCGCCTAAATCCCCCCCCCCCCCCGCTTATCCGAATTGTACCCTATGAGGTTGGAAAGAAAGTTTTTGTTGTACTTTTCATTCTCTCCCAGGGTTGAAAAGCCGCTTCGCGACTTTTTAAACCTGGGACCGTTTGACCCCATTTTATTTTATCCTTCACTTTGCATAATTGTCCTGAATTCAGATGGCAAAAAATGAAAAACAATTGCCCCTTAATATAGTCTAACCCCCATTTTCGCTCTATGCTAATTGTTTCGAACACAGAAACTTTTAGAACACTTAAATTTAAGGTCGAAAATACAACCATTTTTTATAAGGGCAGGTGAAGGCCGACGACGCTCAATTCCGCGTTTCGCAATTAAGCGGTGGGGGTTTGGGCGAGTTTCAGCTGGTGCAAAGTTCGTGCGGGTCGTTTTTCGGTGCTGCAGCCCGGATCGGAAAGATGGGATTTGCTATCAAAACTTTGAAATTCATGATCTCAAATTTCATAATGCCGACGTTCAGAATTCCGCTTTTGGCTGCGAGGTCGTGTCAAATGAAGACGCCGACGACGGTATGGGGATGACTAAGAAAAACGCTGTAACATATTTAGAAAGTGGCGACGATGATGACTACTTTGAGCATGCCGCACAAGATTGAATCCGCTATTGGTCAAAAGTCAAAACAAAAAAAAAACTCAAAACCGATTGCATAAAGCGCCTGGCATCCTCGCTTGTGATTATTCAAACATGTTTGAATAAATGTGAACCGACTGATCTGAATAATCAATGTTCGAATAATTCGCTCGGATTCTTTGAATAATCATTGTTCAGAGATGTTCATTCAAACAGCGTTTGGTTCACCGATAACACACTCTAGTCCGAAGTCAACATCTGATAGTGAATTATTGGTCCTACTCGGTAAATAAGAGGAATTTGAAGGATTAGACGGGGGACTTGTAGTGAATACTGAGGCGAATTGCTCTTGGAGAGCATTAGCCTTTTCCGTATCAGTGACGGCCGTTTTCTTCTCCCTAGTAAGGAGTGGGGGGATAGAATTTTGTGCAGTGGTCTTGGACCTGACAAAACCATAGAAACGTTTCAAGGCCCCAATCCGCCCATGCTTAGAAGAGTTATCTACAAAATCTTGTTCCTTTTGATTAGTTTCTTGTTGTAGGGCCGAACGGAGATCCTTACTTGCATTTTTGTAAGACAGGCTATTGCCTTCAGCTTTCCAGATAGATTTTCTTCTTCTCAGAAGAGTTTTAATCTTTCCCGAGAGACCTGTACGAGTGCTTTTGAACGGTATAAATTCTTTGACTAGATTTTCCAGGTAACTGTCCAATTTCTCTTGCAGGCATTCAACATTGCCGTCTCGGAATTCGAAAAGCCAATTGACCCCCGCTATCCTTCGATTTATTTCAGGGTATGGGGCACGGCGGAAATCTCTTAGCCGAGGGGGAGCAGGGCGACGGTGACTAAGCACAACATGGAAATCGATTGCCTGATGGTCACTGAATGGCTCGGCCACAGAAAGTGAATCTATTAGCCCTGGCAGAGGTGAAAATACAAGATCCAATATGTTATTGAATCGAGTCGGCTCGGTAACCAATTGGGAAAGTCCGAATTTGGCCGAAAATCGAAGGAGATGCTGGCAGTTTGTGCAATTAGTGGACTTGGTCGCCCATTTAATATGCGGGCTGTTAAAGTCGCCGAGCAAAATAAATGGAAAGGTGGAATTTGCCAATAGTTTACAGCATAGCTCGATTAGAGGACCAAGTGGCTGATTATGTTGTGGATGGTAACATAGAACTAGGCGCAGCGCTAATTTAGACCGTTCAGAAAATAAATCGAGGCAGAGGACTTCAATTGGGCCAGAAATACTTACATTTAAGATCTTCAGGTGGCTGCGGAATATTATAGCAAGACCTCCTCCAGTACCGACCCGATCGCGTCGAAGTATTGAGTAGCCAGGCAGAACTAATAGGGTGTCCAATATATGGTCTTTAAGCCAGGTTTCGGTGACGAATACAAGGTCATATTGTTTTAGTAATAATAAGGCATTTAGGCTAGAGATTTTGGGGAGGAGTGACCGGGCATTAATGAGTAGTGCACGGAGCGAAGATGAACTGGGAATAGCCGGGTTTAATTTGCCTTCTTGGTTTGGCGGAGGGCCCACTGAGGGGCTTCGGTGCCAGGCGGGAACTGCCTTCGGACTGCTTTGCAATTTCGGACTGTCCAGAGGGCTTTCTTGGCCTCGTTGTTCTTCTCGATTGCCTCCCTCCATGCTGCTTTGTACAGGAGGGTGTCGGTGGGCGAATAGTTCAGGCGGGCTTGCAGGCCTGAGGCCCGGTTCGCCGGTGAATTGAACGATTTCAGGAAATTCTGGGCTTGTTCCGGGGTCTCGAAGATGGCAATGATCGGACGGGGCGAGCCCGCTGTAGCAGGTCGGGCGCCCCCTAGGCGAAAAACCTTGTTCGGCGGGGCTTGATCAGGGGGAGTTCACCTTTGCAGACACAAGGTCCTTGTCAGAAGTTTGCCCTTCCGGAATTCCTCGAATGAATACCTGACGATCATGCTCTTGCGAGGCTTGTTCATCCCTAATGACTTGCTTGAGCATAGCAGTCAAAGGGACGGTTGGAAGGTTGGAAGCAACTTTGGAAGCATAGGTAGGTTGAGGGGCTGGGCGTTCCTTGAGCTCAGAGACGGTCGTTTGGAGAGTAAGAACCGTTTGGTTCAAAGTGGCAATTTGCTGGCTCATAGAGGCAACCAGCCCATGAAGTTCTTCAATAATTTGGCCTTGCTCGCGGAACTTCGTCAGAAGAATCGCTGTCGTCAGGAATTGATCAGAATTTTCGTAGGGATATGCAGTAGGCGGATCTGTAGGATCAGGAAAATCTGCAGGTGGCCGAATATTAGTGAATCCATGAATGGCCTTGTCAGGGTTTGGAGGTCCTGTAGGCGCAGTTGGGGAATTTGTGGCCGCGTTTTGGAGGAGGCGGTTGTGGATTAGGAGAAGCTTGTGGTTTCGGGGACCACAGACCCAGCATACTGTAATATCGGGAGGATGCTACTTCGCATATTATAACTTGCATTAATATTACGAATTGCGTTATGGATAGGCACACCACAGGAATTACATGAGCAACCGACTCGGAACCCCGCAAAGCCCAGAATGAGCCGGATTAATCATCCTATGCAAATTAGTCTATTTCCATATGTTTTTAAATCGCTAAAATAAGATATAAAACGTCATTTTAGTAAAAATCTGATAAGCGCGCAGTAATCTACGCCCTCGACTACCCCTAACCACTTTACTTCTGAACCATAAAATCCTCTTCCCTTCGAGTTATGGCTGGAACCCGGGTTTTTATGCAAAGTGTCCACACACCCACAGAAACTATTTTTTTATATATAGTAGGATAGCACTTTTTTGGTGATTCGGCATGTGTGCAGTCGTCTCGAGACGATTACGCATCTAATGACGTATCAAACATATTTATATTAAAAAACCCTATCCAATATTAACTTTTGGGGACTGGTTCCTTAGCGGGAGCGGTGAAGGCCGCGCCTGGGCTGAGGAGCTGGTCTGGGAGCGGGGTGGGGGGGGGGGGTAAACTGAACTCCAACCTGTTTGGCATTTAGCATTAGATTAGCATTTCGCTTCTGCTATTTTGGGTGAATTTCCGGTTGTCTGGAAAAAGGTGGGGCTGCGCTCCCCTGCGGATCATTCACTCCAATCCTCCCCATTCAACCCTAGCCGCTCTCTTCTTCTTTTGATGATTCGCCGCTCTCTGATGCTGCTCACGATGCGCGTGCTCTTCCTCATCTCCGTCGTCATCTCCGTCCAGGCTGAAACGACACCGGCCGCGGGATTTAGTATGTCGTCCAGAAAATAACTAGAAAATCCTAGAAAATGATAAGTGTACTACAGGGTGTCTCAAAAAAGTACCCCCCTCTTTAGCGGCCTGCCATCGTGTTCGATTTTGATGATTGGCTAAATTGCATTATATCCTACTATATATAAAAAAATATTGTCTGTGTGTGTGTGTAGACACTTTGCATAAAAACCCGGGTTCCAGCCATAACTCAAAGGGGAAAAAATTTTTGGTCCAGAAATAAGGTAGTCAGGGGTATTCGAGGGCGTAGATTACTGCACGCTTAACAGATTTTTACTAAAATTTCGTTTTAGACCCTATTTTAACGTTTTAAAAACATATGGAAATAGATTAATTTGCATACGAGGCGCTAGGAGCCTCATTTTGGCTTATGTCGCGCTCGCGGCCGGTTGCTTTTGCTATTTTTAGGGTTCGCTCTAGCTCTGGCCCGAATTATGCAAAGCCCAACTTTTAAAGATCCCCGCGCAAAGGCCAGGGGTGAAAAGCCGCTTAGCGGCTTTTCAACCCTGGTGGTCACTAAACGGATTTCCGATTTCTATATCGCTAGAGGCGCCAGCGACAAGTGTGAAAACGTTGTGAAACTTTTTCTCAAGTGTGAATTGTCGGCCGGCCGGCGCGGCCGCGGCCGGCCGACGAAATAATTCGGCCGGCCGCTCGCCGACCGGAAGTCATTTGTATAGAGTCGGCGGCCCGGAAACGGCCGATTTTTTATGCTAATGCGGCCGTCGGCCGGTCGGCCGCGGCTGGCCGACCGAAATTGTCATGTCTGAGAAATAGCAACCTAAAGAGCACGACTTGACGCACATTTTGGTATACAAAACTTTTTCGGCAGAGCAATATTTCGCACTTGCAATTTGCGACTCTGCGGTTCTTCGTTAAAATGTCAAGCAAATATATGGCAACCGCGAGGACTTCCCAAATCGACGTGTAGTTTCCCCATTACGGCCTGTATAGTCAAGTCGTGGCTACCAAAATGTGCGTCTATGTACTTACTACTCCCCCGGAATCCTAAAGAACCCTCCCAGCAGCCCTAGCTCCTCAGCCATCAGGCCCATTAATCCGCCGATCATTTTGGAATATTCGCCATGGTTAAAACTCTAGGGCCAAGTCGTTTTCCTTCATCAAAAATTGCCAAACATTTTTTACAGGATTGCAAAAAATGGTATTGCTATGCTTCGGTGCACCCGGTGTTTCTAACCCAAGCATTTTCATTTTTCGCTACTGGCTACTTACTGTAGGGTTGTTCTACCAGGGATGGCTGAGCTATGAAAACTCACTTTGGAACAGGAAAAATTGGGGCTACGGTTTACTTTACCCCCCCCCCCAGCCGGAAGTTTTTGGCTATAACTTTTTTATTTTACAATATTGTAGGCTCAAATTAAAACTCTTAGTATATTTTTCGACGCTCTATCGAATGGCGTTGCAAAAATCCCGACAAAATAAGCGAAAATACCGACAACTTTGAGACCCTTCGGCTGTGAGGGGGGTAAAGTAAACTCTTACCAAAATTGGTGCTTCCAGGTTCCCGGGGGGCGGTTATTTTAGCGGGGGCGGACGCGAACTTTTTTTTATGATCTTGTGTAGGTCGACTAATTAAAAGTTTAACGTTTTTGTAGACTTGTAAGCCGTTTCACGTGGTTTTTGACTCTTAGCGGGGGGGGGGAGGAGAATTTTAGAAAAACATATATATTTTGAAAATTTTTCTTTTCGGTCTAACGTTTATGAAAATGGTTAAAAACGAGCGACGCCCCTAGATTTTGTGAATGTAGGATAAAAATTTTTATAATTTTTGGTTATCGGAAACTACTAAAACATGATTAAGATAAACTACAATTAATTATTATGCAGGGATAGTCTAAACAAAGAAAATTTGTCAACCGCCCCCCCTGCTAAAAAAAACTGCCGCCGTTAACCTGGAAGCACCGAAAAAAATTAGCTAAAAAAGGGCCCCCTTCTTTAGTTAAAGGTAAACTGAATTCTAATCTTTTTTTTTAGTGGAAAAGGACTGCGACGTGGGAACGAAAGATTGCACGCTGCAGCATCAACCACCCGGGGCCAGGCGGCTCTGGTTTAGCGTCAAAGACGAGAAGGAGGATACCATCTTTAACTACGGTCGGTTTGTCACGCTTCGTCTGGGGGTTCTGGACTGGTTTTGGAGCACTTTCTGTTCTTTCACCTATACCTGTTTCACTATCTTACCGTATTTCCTCTAATATAACCCCGGGGGGTGGTAATAGTTTACTTTACCCCCGCCCTCCCCACAGCCCGAGGCTCCCAACGTTTTCGATATTTTCGTTGTTTTTTCGGCCTTTTCGCTAGGCCATTCGATAGAGCTATCCTACCTTATATAATTTGGTCGCGTATCTTTGTGTGTGTGTGTGTCCGGCGCCAGGGAGGTCTACTTTGCATAATTCCAAAAAATACAAATTTCCTCATTCTTGCAGGTTGCACGCGCGGGTTTGGTCGGAGGAAGGGAAGGGTCCGAAGGACCCAAGCTCTCGGAAAGTCTAATGTATCATGCAAAGGCCGCATTCCAGCGCCCAAGGCCCGCGAAGCGGGTTTTGGGCGCTGGTCGATAGAATAGGTTCTGTTCTATTTCGAGCTGGGGAAAACTGTGCGGAGGGGGGGATTTGATTGAGCATGACTTCGATATTTTCGCTATTTTATCGCAATTTTTCCAACGCCATTCGATAGAGCATCGGAAAATACAGGGTGTCCCAATAAAAAAGGTCACGCTGGCATTTCGCCATTTCAAATCCGATCGATTTGAAATTTTGAACAGAGGTGCGGAAGGGAATTTAAAATGTTCACAGAAACTTTCAGCCCGCTCGGTACAGTAGTTTTCGAGTTATTGTAAAAATACTGTTTTTCCCACACTTTAGCGTCTTTTTTTCGGCTATCTTTTTGGACTTTGCATCAATTAACATAAATTTCCGGCTCTAAATCCCTTATTCTTCTTAACATCGGCGTCGTTAGCCCTTGTTACAAAATTACTTAAATAGCCTATTTTCGACCCGAATTTTGCGAAATAAAAAATTCCTAGTATAAAAAAGGGTCGGCGCTTCATTTTTTCCATACATTCCAGGGCTCAATTCCGGCGGAATCCAGGTTAAAAACGTAAAATAAAGTTTATTTTTGCTATAACTCGAAAAATACTGTAGCGATCGGGTTGAAAGTTTCTGTGAACATTTTGAATTCCCTTCTGCACCTCTGTGCAAAATTTCAAGTCGATCGGATTGGAAATACCAAAATGCCAGCGTGACCTTTTTTATTGGGACATCCTGTATACTTAGCTTGCGCCGCCATTACAAAGAGGCTTGCATGAGAGAGGCGTTTCCTTCCTTCAGGGTAACTTTATGTGGAAGCGCGCTCGATTCATAGTGCCTAGACGGGGTGAGCACCAGCGGGGGGAGAGTCGCGAAGCGGCTCCTCCCCCTCTGGTCTACTATAATAATTTTGCTGTGGTGCCTGTTCGTCTGTCCGAAGCCGAATTCAACTCGAACGGGAAAGGAGCTAGAGCTTAGGTCTCTTCGGATTCGGATAGAGCGTGGTCAGAAATAGTGATGGTATTATTCAAATCTCAAATCTAATTTGCATCCGCCTAATCAAATCTGCCGCTTTGATTTGAATAAGGTTTTAGTCAGGTTATCCGAAGGGGTCGCGAGGCGACTGGAACCATCTGGTATTGTGGTAGAAAAAAGGTGGAGCCAAAAATTAATTTTGGAATTAGCGCTGGCAAGCTATTTTTCAATATTTTCGCTATTTTTTTGAAAATTTGAAGGCACAATTCGATGGAGCATCAAAAAAATATACTAAGAATTTTCATTTCATCTCAAAACAGCTTAGATGAAAATAGTTATAGGAAAAACAAGATTTAAACATGGTTTCTTTATGTGAGCGTAGAGTCGAAAGCTAGTTTTCGACATTTTCAATCTTTTTTACAAAACTTCTTGATCGTCATTAGAAAGAACGTCAAAAATTATCCGACGAGTTTTGATTGCAACTCAGAATAACGTATCAGGTTGGAACGAAAGTTCTGTCGCCGAGATTTTGGAATGCTGGCTAAATTCGTAGATAGCTCCATTCTGCACATGCGATATGTCATTTTGTAGCTCTCAACCTGAACCGTTTCGGGAGGATGGTCCTGGGTCCTCAAAATCAAGCACGGCCGAGATACAGGCCCAAGAAGATTTTTCAAAAATTACGAGAAAGTGTTTTTGCAAGTTATCTCTGCATGGAGCAATTTGCATGCGATACCTTCAACACCAGTCGATAGCTCTCGAGGAGTAGATATCGATAGATGTTTAGATCATCAAAATTGGACATCGGATGGCCGAGATAAGATCCCTTGAAATTTGGCCCATTTCTTAGAACTTTTCTCGATTTACCATACATTATTTCAAAATCCTCTCCGCTAGTCCAAAAATAAAGCGGTAATTTTCAACACCTCTCCGTCAAATGTTTGGAAATGTATGGGATTTTGAGAAAAGTTCTAAGAAATGGGCCAAATTTCAAGGGATCTTATCTCGGCCATCCGATGTCCAATTTTGATGATCTAAACATCTATCGATATCTACTCCTCGAGAGCTATCGATTGGTGTTGAAGGTATCGCATGCAAATATCTCTATGCAGAGATAACTTGCAAAAACACTTTCTCGTAACTTTTGAAAAATCTTCTTGGGCCTGTATCTCGGCCGTGCTTGATTTTGAGGACCCAGGACCATCCTCCCGAAACGGTTCAGGTTGAGAGCTACAAAATGACATATCGCATGTGCAGAATGGAGCTATCTACCAATTTAGCCAGCATTCCAAAATCTCGGCGACAGAACTTTCGTTCCAACCTGATATTATGAAATAGTTAGCGCAAAACGAAGTAGCTTACCGCACCGCCGCAATTTCCCGCTCCCCGCACAGTTTTTCCGCCGGTCGAAATAGAACTAAAGTTTTTTTTTTTCCTAGCGTGCGGCGCCACCCAAACATTCTGCGTGTCGATGAACAACGAGATACTGGCCGACGACAAGATCGGCTGCTATGGGTACTTCTTGACGCCGACTGGATGTCAATGTGGTGCGTCATGTCCATTAATAAGCAAGCATTTAAATGCCGGTTCGGTTCTGGACTGTTAGCGGGGGGGGGGTGGAACGAAAATTGTCGCTGTGATTCGCTACGGCCCTTTAGCAAAATATAAATCTTTTTTATGGCATTTTGACATTGGCTTTAGATATAAAAACAATTTTAAAAGAAAATAATAATTTTTCGAACATTTTTTACTTTGGACAGAAATGTATGAAAAATGGCGAACAAAACAAATTTTGGAATTTTAAAGATTTTTAAAATACTTTAGATCTTCCCAGCAATCAAAAACTAAAAAAAGCGCTATGGAAATATCTGTTATGTTGATCATCTAAATCCGATAAATACCTAAATCGTAAAAATCGGACACGACTGGACACGCAACCGTAAGGTTACCGCTCCAGCCTCACCCTCCCCCGATATTTTAGCGCCGAAGAAAGATGAGATCTGGGAACTGGAGACCCCCGGTAGGTGCCAATTTGCCATTGCCATCCCCGCGATGATTTGCAGTGTACTCGGAGCTCCTGTCCCAGTGGAGGTCGGCACAGAAGCCGGGCGAATCGGTGGGTGGTGGTTCTTACTAGTTAGGCCCAGGCCTAAGCCCAAACCTAAGCCTAGGCGTGAGCGTAAGCCGATGCCTAGGCGAAGCCTAAGCCTATGCCTAAGCCTATAGCTAAACCTAAGCCTAAGTATATCCCAAGCCTATGCCTATTCCTGTGCCTAGGCCTAGGCCTATCCTAAGCCTAGGCCTCAGCCTCAGCCTAACCGAAGCCTAAGCCTAAGCCTAAGCCTAAGCTAAGCTAAGCCTGTAAGTTTGTAATACTCACAAAAACTCACAAAAACTTCTTTGAGTTTTTGAGGATTTTGAAAGTGGGCTTTTGTAACTTTTTGGCACTAGAACACGTGTAAGTTCTTCAAAAACGTCGTGCAGCACTGTTTACACACGGACTCGAAATCGGCGTAAAATTCTGCACATAACAGGCTTGGTACTTCAGGATCACTCAAAAGACCCTTTTGTTCCAGAAGTGCGAGATCGTCATCGTCCGTCCGGACGACGTGTCGCCGACGTCGTCTGCCCGCCGGCTGCCCCTGTTCGCCACTGTGATCGTCGTCGTCGTGGCCCTCATCTAACCCACCCGCTCTCTCATCTACTAGTGTCATGCCGATATATGTGCAATAAAAATGTTTACATGTTGGTTCACAGCTACTTCAATATGCGCAAATACAAGACCATCGGAAATCTTCGCCAAAACTATGAGGTTGGAAAGAAAGTTTGTGTAGTACTTTTCATTCTCTACCAGGGTTGAAAAGCCGCTTCGCACCTTTTTTGAAACCTCGCACCGTTTGACTCCATTTTATCCTTCACTTTGCATGATTGTCCTGAATTCAGATGGCAAAAAATGAAAAACAATCTCTTTTGCCCTTAATATAGTCTAACCCCCATTTCCGGTCTATGCCAATTGTTTCTAACCCAGAAACTTTTAGAAAATTTAAATTTAAGGTCGAAATAGCTGTTTTCGTAAAATCTGATATGTGTGCAGTGATTTACCTACATAATGCCGATTTACAGAATGCCGATTTACAGAATGCCGATTTAGAGAATGCCGATTTACAGAATGCCGATTTACAGAATACCGATTTTACATAATTTGGGTTCTACATCCAAAAATACAAACCGGATCCCCATAAAAAAACATTATCCGACTTGGGCATGGCGAAACCGCCAGATCTGAAGCTTAGCTTTTTTCTTTTTTTTTTCAGAGAAACCCTAGTTCCACGTTACCCAGGGGCCGCCCTTGGGTTACTAGATCAAAGTCTTCTATGGAACAGTTTTCCCTTCCTCTCGGCGGGAGGCCGGGCATTCTCAACCAAGAAATGATAATTGAATCGTCGAGTTTTGCCGCTGTGGATCAGCTCGTTAGAAGTGTCGGCGACCAGCGAAAACGGTTGAAACTTGTCGCGAGGCTTGCGAGTTCCCGGTAATCCCCAGATCCCTACCTGGAAAGAAAGAAAAAAGAAAAGAAAAAAGCTAAGCCTCAGCTCTGGCGGTTTCGCTATGGCCAAGTCGGGTCCGGTTATGGAGATCCGGTTTGTATTTTTTATGTAAAACCCAAAATATGTAAAATCGGCATTCTGTAAATCGGCATTCTGTAAATCGGCATTTTGTAAATCGGCATTTTGTAAATCGGCATTTTGTAAAATCGGCATTCTGTAAATCGGCATTTTGTAAAATCGGCATCCTGTAAATCGGCATTCTGTAAATCGGCATTATGTAGGTAAATCACTGCACACATATCAGATTTTACGAAAACAGCTGATTAGGTTGATATGATTTTAGGAGCGGAAAACGGGCAAGAACCAGCCTATTTTTTTGCATGAACGAAAACGGCTTTTTGAGTGCGCAGCGATTGCATGTCGTAATGCCTTGTAAGCAGGCCCGTACGGGAGCCGAGATATCAGCACCGTGCCCCAGGTGCCCCCCCTGCCCCCCGTACGGGCCTGCTTGTAAGACATCCAATCTTGCCATCTCTGCTATCTCATCAGACATTGGGAAACACAATAAATTCCGCTCCTAACTGCCATGTGATGGTCACCCCGCATTTTAGCGATGGCGTCAAAACTAAATCATGCACAATCAGCCTCCACCCCCCCCCCCTTTGCCTTCTGACAAACTAGAGATGTCACGAATCAATTAACAATAAAGGTTATTTGCATACAGTGGCACAATATTATTTTATTTGGATGGAGCTGAGCGCATGACCAAGTAAAATAATATTATTTGACTCCGCTCGAGAAAGAACCAAGTAAAATTACTTGATTGACTTGATTTACTCGATCAAACAATAGACTGGAATTCTGGCATTTTTCGGATTGTAATGAACTTTATGACATGATCGCATGCTAATTTACTGGGTTCGCGGCACGATTGCCTGATTTGCATTGCGAATTTGCACAAAATCAGGTAATTTTGCTGAAAATCAAGTAATTCTCCCAAATCAATCAAGATCAAGTAAATCAAGTAATTTTATTTTACTTGGTGCTTATTCAAGCAAACGGAATAAAATAAGTTTATATTTACTTGAAGATTTCGGATGCAAATAAAGTTGTTCAAGCAAATTTACTTGGTCATTATATTACTTGACCAGTGGAAAAAGACCGCTTCGCCGGCCCTTTTCCACTGGACCCCGTCTAGGAATCATGAATTCCCTTTCCTTTTATTGAAGCCTGCGGCGCAAGAGCCTGACTCAAGGAACCATTCATTTGAGCTACTGATTCTTCGCTCGGATTTAGTCTGCGGCGCGCAAGCGTAAGTCAAGGACCTTTTCTTTGGCCTGCGGCGCCAGAGCCAGCATTGCGTTAGAATCTTTGAGCCTGCGGCGCTAGTTACTGGTTTTTCTCCAGGATTTGGCCTGCGGCGCTAGAGCGAGGGCCAGGCCGAAACCGCGCACATCGAGGGCCTAGCAATATGTTTTGTTGTTGAAATCTCAAAAAGCAAAAAGTTAAATTCGGCGCGGATTCGAGCCCCGGACCACGCGCTTGTTAGACCGGGCGCCAATCCGCTACACCACGGGGCGATGGCGATGGGTGGCGGGAAAGCCCTCTTCTGTCCTGGGGGAGGTCCTCACCCCGGGAGGGAGAACTTCTGGTAACTTTACAAAATTTTCTTTTGAGTCTGAATGCGGCAAAAATTTGCAAAAATAATAAGATGCGCGTGAGCCCCACTATCGAATACATAAGTGGACCAAATTACAGACCAAAATTCCATCTGGGCTTCGAGTTATGCCCCGGACACCACGGCTCTTGGCCCATTTGATTAAGGACCTTCTAGTAAATTGCTCATAAAAACTGTATTTTAAGGAATTTGGCAAAATCCAGAAAATAGTATCGGGAGAATTGTTTCTTCCATTCACCCTCCAAAAATCAGCGCCCAACTCCTCTTAGCGGCCGAGAAAACCTCCGGACATACCTTTTTTTCAGCGAAATGTTAAGGAATTTTCACTATTTTGGTTGTAAAGTCGTTAAATGAAGAAATTTCGCTAAACAAAAAAATGCATCACTGATAAATGTGTTTCTCCACCTCCATGCCAAAAATCAGCAGGAAATTCGGCCTGACGGCCGAGAAATCGGCTGTACAGAAAACACACATACTTTTCTCGCTTATATTACTTGATTGATTCGCAACATCTCTATGACAAACCGAAGGCGACTGACAAACGATGAAACGGCATCGAAAAATGGCTTGCCAGAGGGGCAACTTTCAGAATCTCTAATACCCTAAAAGTGCGGACAGGTTTTTTGTATAATAACGACCTAGGAAACGCGGGGTGCCAAAATGAGCCTGCCTGAGACAGCCACAAAATGTGGCAGCTGCATAAATGGGTACTTGTAGGAAAAGGTGTTTTGCCAGTTGCGGTAACAATGATTCAAAACGTGAGCCCCGTGCAGACCGCGCTCATCGAGTCGGAACACTAGAAATGGAGCACCAGGAATCTAAAAAAACTCCCAGTCGTTACCGATTTCAGCCTCAGCGTTGTGCATGTATAAAGCCGTTAATTTTACTTTATTTTCGGCTAGCGCTGCTCAAAATGTTAAATGAGTAGGACACCTACACCACGGACAGAAAAAAGACCAAACCTGTTCGTTCTAATAGCAAGCGCAGCGTGGAGGATCCCAATTTTTAACGCTATGTCTTTCCGGTAGATTGACGAGTAGCCTTGACACCCGAATACTACCGTTATGTAGAATTAACTACGAATTACGAAAATTAAAAATGAATTTCTTGCATGAATCTCTCGACCGCTTTGATCCTTGGGCTGCCGCCAAGTCCAAAAGTTTTTGTGAGTTGTGGTTAAGTTTCTCGGTATCAGCGCAAAAAACTACCCTTGAAAAATTTCCAAAGGCTACTTTTGGTAAAAGTACGTTACGGTTTCAATTCGCGCCAAAAACTGTATGGGTTTCTGAAGAAGAAAATCCAACAATTCTGATTTTTACAGATTCTGATTTTTAGGTATTCTGATTTTTCGAGATTCTGATTTTTTAGGTATTCTGATTTTTCGAGATTCTGATTTTTAGATATTCTGATTTTTCGAGATTCTGATCTTTAGAGATTCTGATTTTTTGACATTCTGATTTGTAGAGATACTGATTTTTAGAAATTCTGATTTTCAGAGATTCTGACTTTTAGGGATTCTGAAAGTTGCCCCTCTGGCAAGCCATTTTTCGATGCCGTTTCATCGTTCATCGGTCGCCTTTGGTTTGTCAGAGGGCATGGGGGGAGGCTGATTGTGCATGATTTAGTTTTGACGCCATCGCTAAAATGCGGGGTGACCATCACATGACAGTTAGGAGCGGAATTTATTGTTTCCCAATGTCTGACGATGGTCCCCTGCAAATTCCACGACGACGGTCATCTTTGGTGTTGGCGAGGCTGGCCCCGGCCAGGCCCCGGATTGTTTTGTCTTTAGCGGACGGCGCGTGCCTTTCATGGATATATAAGCCAGCCCCCGTCTCCGATCCGCCACATTCAAAATCACTGCATTCGATTTACCGCGTTGCCTTCCCGTCTTTCCTTAAAAGGGCTCCTAAATCTGGTTCAAGCCCCTGAGCGTTGATTCCTGGCAAACAGCCAATATTTTACGTTTTTTCGCAACGAACTGAATTATCCATTCTTGGCATCTCGGCAGTAATTCTTTCATTTCTTGTCCATTAGGTTCCATCCCCGCACGACCGAATTTTGACTTTCTAGCCCCTTTAAACCTAACTTGCCCCCCCCATCAATCGCTCAGTACATTACGTCCTATTAATGCGTAAATTACTTCAAAATATTCACCCTGGTCGCAATAGTTTTAAAAAAGTTGTTCCCAGCATCAAAAATTTCTAAAAAATGGATTTATAAAAATTATAGGGCTGGGGCTGCTTGGTTAATTTTTGCTGTTCTCAAATAAGTTTTCGTATCTGGGCGCTCGTTGGACGTACAGCGGTAGGGGTACTCAAATGTAGCCCTTGATCTGTAGAATAAGAAGACTGTAGGTTTGAGCCGATATCAAAGTATTCCAGTTAGAAATACCGGGTAAACCGAAGCATAGCGACTCAATCTTTTCAGCTTTTGAAACTCTAACACCTTGCAAACTCGACGAGTACCAATTTCTATCATTTTTAGCTCTAGAAATGAATCCGAAGCGTTTGCTCATCCCCTTCCTTAATTGCGTCATCATCGCCTGTGCCGGCGATGCCGGTAAGTGTTTTTACGCAGACGTTGGATTTTTTTTGCCCGGCGAATCCCCTCATCAATGCCGTTCCCGAGCGAAAAGAAAAAAAAGGAAAAAGACAAAAGGATAGAAAGTTTACATAGCTCTACAAATAGCCGTAAAAACGTGAAAAAAGGCAGCAGGAGGCAGGCAGGCAGCAGTTTTTGAGAAAATAAAAATCATAAGGGTCCCCCCTTATGAAATTTTCGGGCCCCGGCCGATTTCGGGGGGGGGGGGGGGGGGGCCGGGCCGGGCCCCCGGGGCCTGTATACGCTACGTCCCTGGACCCACTATTACGTTTTTAGGCATTTCTGGGCTTGCAGGATAAAACTTTGATTGCCGGCTCGGTATTGTGAAAGCTCCCAATTTACGCACCCGTTTAATTTCCCCGATTCAGAGGATGACCTCCTTTGCGAGGCGACCCGCCCGGCTATCTGCGGAAGCAACGACGAGCAGCTGATGCCCGATCACGACCGCGTGGTCGCGGTCAGCGAGCAGAAAATCTACGGTGAGTGTTCGGTTACTTGGCGGCGCTTTCCGTTTAGCCGGGGCGCGGTGGGGGTGACTCTCAACAATTTGTTATGTTTTATAGTCCGGTGTTTTATATTCAGGAAGGTTTTGGATGCCCGGAACGGAATTAGTGTTATTTTTCCTAAATTATTTTTCCTAAAAGTTCTTTTTGCTTAAAGGGATGGGCATCGCAACTTTTTCTGGGCTCAAAAAGCAAAAACCATGCCGCGGGCGGGGGCGAACCCGGGACCCCCGTTTTGTGGGGCTGGATACTTTGGTGGCCCGCCATTGCCGCACAAAATTCGCGCGTCATTTGTACTGCCCGGAATCCATAACTATATATTTGCCGCCAAAACCTTGGGTATCCCTTTAAGTTAATTTTTCCTAAACAGATTCGATATCTGAAAAGACTTTGATTTCGCAAGCGTTCGAATTTTGATTTCGTCAGGCTCACTGCCGGACGAACGCCGCGTGTGTTTAGCCTGGATTTAGGGCGTGAAAACGCAATAAAACCGTATTAAAAAGGCCGCTTCTACAGGGTGTCCCGAAAAAAAAGCACCCCTCCGGCATTTCACCGTATTACATCCGAGCTGTCCGAAATTTGGACCAGAGGTGTATCAGACCCTAAATAACCACAATCCTGATTTATAGCCCGCCAGCTACAGTAATCTTCGAGATACAACAAAATAAACTTTATTATTCGTTTTTCATAGGGTTTTCGTCGAAATCGACCCTTTGAATATTAAGTGAAAATGAAGCGGCAAGCCTGCTTTACCCCTAGATATTTTTTTCTGATAAAAATTAGTCAATAACAGTGGATTTCAACAATTTTTGTAATGCAAAATCACCCCCGATATTAAGCGAAATTAGGGATTCGCAGCCGGAAGTCGATGCAAATCGATGCAAAGCCCAAAAAGATAGCCGAAAAAACTGTTGAGAACCGCGTAAAAAACAGTATCTTGAAGATAACTCGAAAACGACTGTAGCGATCGGTCTATAACTCAGGATTGTGGTTATTTAGGGTCTGATGCACCTCCGGTCCGATTTTGCGACTGTTGGGATGTAATACGGCGAAATGCCGGAGGGGTGCTTTTTTTGGGACACCCTGTATATAATTCGCGGCGGGGGGAGACCAACTTTTTTTCCCGGCTGTCCCCTTTGAGCCAGTAATCAAATATAAGGTATTTTTACATTGTTGTTAGTAAGTTTTAACTATATTTAAAGCCGTAAAACTACCAAAAAAATTTAGAAAAAATTCGAATGAGTCGAAAATTTGGTTTTTCTGGGTCCTTCCACCACGCGAATCCTAAAGGTTCTATAGGATTTGGCGACCTAAAATTAAATTCTTTAATTAAAATTTGTGTAGTTTTTATATAGGATAAGTTAAAAAAGTTTAGAAACGCATCCGCCATTTACAAAAATAACTAGATTTGTGCCGAAAACAATTTGGTTCCCCCCCCCACGCGTATAGTTCATATTTTGTTTTCGGGCCCAACGAGGAATTGTGCCGAAAACAATTTGGTTCCCCCCCACGCGTATTTAGTTCATATTTTGTTATTGATTTTATTCATATTGATTCATATTTTGTTATATGAATACTACACAAAGCAAGGTTGATTTCCGCCCCCCCCCCGCCCCCATACGCCCGAACAGGGGTTGACAACGGGCCGGGCCCGGGTTTTGATGATTTTAGGCCATTTTTGCGAATTTTCGGCCAAAAATCGTAATTTTTTTTCAATTTTTTCGGAATTTTTCCAAACTTTTCCACCTTTTTTAGGTTCTTTGTCTTAGGTGTTTGGCTCTAAACCCTATTTTTCATTTTTTTTTGTTCCGGGAGTTGTAGGCTAGGTTACTAGGGGCCGGGAATTGTGATTTTTTTATGCCTGAATGGACTAGCAGACACTTCTTGCATGATTTCTAACCGGACTTCGTTTATCCAACGGATCTCTGAAAACCATAGTTCGATATTTCACCAAAAAAAAAACGATACAATGCATCTACAAAACGGTCAATAAAGGTTATCCGAGCTTTACCATTGACCGGATCCGGCATGTTTGTATTTTGAAAAGACAGTTTCTAATGTTTTTATGTTTATTAATAGTTCGAAAATAAGAATAGTTGATAGTTATTAGTTGTCTGTATTGGATAGTATGATAGATAGTTAGTTTCTACTTAGATTAAAAAACTTGGGTCTTAGTGGAAAAAAATTTTTGACCCCCGCTCTGACCCTAGGTGTCTGACCGGGCCCGACGGCCCGGCCCGGGCCGGATTCCCTGTCACGATTTCGAAAATCACCATTTCGAAAGTCACCATTTCGAAAAGACACGATTTCGAAAAGACACCATTTCGAAAATCACCATTTCGAAAAGTCACGATTTCGAAAAACACCATTTCGAAAAAATCCCCAGTTCGAAAAGACCCAGTCTTCAAACAGGCATAAAAATTGCGGTGTCGAAAAACCACGGTTTTTCTCGGATATGACTAGTGATGTAATAGAAATTGTTTTAGTGGTGTCTATAATGAAATCAATCATATCTCCAGTGGAAAAATAGACCCCCGAACCTCAAACCAGCCAACCAAAATCATTTTTTTCTGCGACTGGGAAATGGGCTATTGCTAAATCCTGTGTTTCCCAAATGGTAATTTTCGAAATGCTGATTTTCGAAATGGTGATTTTCGAAATCGTGACTTTTCGAAATGGTGATTTTCGAAATGGTGTCTTTTCGAAATGGTGTCTTTTCGAAATGGTGACTTCCGAAATGGTGTTTTTCGAAATGGTGATTTTTCGAAATGGTGATTTTCGAAATCGTGACCGCCAACCCCCGGGCCGGGCCGGGCCTGGGGTCGACTGGGCCCGGCTTCCGGGCCTCGGCCCGGCCCGGCCCGGCCCGTTGTCAAGGCCTGCCCCCAGACAGGGAAACACCGATTTGGGTTATTTAGTGTGCCCTCCCGCGACCACCTGGTGCGATAAAATGATTGATGAAGCGGGTATCCATCAACCGGCTGGCTGTTGGCAGGGGGTCTTCCGACCTTTCATGGAGCGACACGAATGCCGTAAGTTTCTCTTGTTTTTACAATACTTTGACCACGGGCTGATCGTGGGCATGAGCACGGCCCGCCAGCAGCAATTCCTAGTCCTTTGCGGGCATCCGGGGATAATAGCCGCATTAAATGATTGCCAACGGCTGATTCCCGTCAACGCTTTTTCAGGGAGTGAGCGCTGGGAAAACGGCGGATTCCCCGTCAAGGCTGCCGACGGCAAGTTCTTTTTCAATACCATTTCGACTAAGCCTTTACAGAGTGACTTTCGGGGTAGTGACTTTTCGGGGTAGTGACTTTTCGGGGTAGTGACTTTTCGGGGTAGTGACTTTTCGGGGTAGTGACTTTTCGGGGTAGTGACTTTTCGGGGTAGTGACTTTTCGGGGTAGTGACTTTTCGGGGTAGTGACTTTTCGGGGTAGCGACTTTTCGGGGTAGTGACTTTTCGGGGTAGTGACTTTTAGGGGTAGTGACTTTTCGGGGTTGTGACTTTTCGGGGTAGTGACCGGACGCCATGAGGAACCTTCGGTCAAAAAGGCAAAAAAAAAATAGAAATCGTAATCGGGTTCGAGCCCTGGATAGATTCCCCAGTACTAAGGATAGTACTAAGCCACTAGGCCACCAGGCACGGCGCTAGTGCACCGAGGGGAGACTATGAAGGTAGGTCGAACCACACGCAAAAACTTTCAAGGCTTGTAACTCGGCTAGATTACGGTATGGGCAGCTGCAAGTCAGACCAAACGATTTGTCTCGCTAAATTTTCAAGTCGAAATTCGATGTCGAGCTGAGACCATCTCCTTGTAAGCCTTTACAATATCAGGAAATCGGGGTGGGTGCAGACGGGGATGGCCAATCAAATGAAGACTTTGCATACCAATTAACGGATTTCAGTTCACCCGGAGGTGATGGAATTGGCCCGCAGCGCCGCCGCAACAAACTCCAGCTCAACCGCCATGCCAACCACCCCCATCCCACCGACCATGCCAACACTCGAACTCAACTACAATGACAGCAATCTCCAGCTCAATTGCCATGCCTACGACTCCCAGCTCACCGGCCATGCGAACGGCGTCCAGTTCACCTACGATGCCAAGAACCTTGAGCTTACCGTCCACCGTGTTGGATGAATTCCAAATCCGTGAAATAATTCAAATTATCTCTTTTCGACGATATTCAAGTCATTTAAAAATGACTATAATAAATTTTTGTGAAAAAACAGTGTCCAACGTTCAACAAATACATCAACATCCAGGTCTGTGTTTTAATCTGCATTCCGGGGAGGGGGAGACTTCATTTTAATGTGATTTCGAGAAATTATAGCACTTTTAGCCGTTTAAAGCGCACGTTCAGGGAGGGGCCGTGTACTCGTCCCAACGTGTACACCCTATGGACGTAGGGACCGCGCGCACTGCCTGCCCGTGCTGTGACAGGCCATTCCCCTCCTTTGCGGCGTGGGGCGCCCCACACCCCCTCTCCAGATTGTAGCTGTGGCTGACTGGTATCCATCCGCGCCTCCCGAGCGGGGGCCCGGGTTCGACCCCCGGCCGCGGCAAAAATCTGCTTTTTTCCAAAAAAACTTCCCTGAACGTCCACCACATCCACTCAGCGCACATTACAAATCTTCAACAGAAAAGCTTTTGGCATTTTTTGCTTCTTAACCGTAAGTCTAACGAATTTCGGGACGTATTGGAGCAAATACGTGAAGTAGATTTTCATTAAAACACAGCAGGTCTTCTGATACCAAGAACTACCGGTACACAGAGGATAGCGGGGGGTGTGGAATAACGGGGGGCACTCAAAGTTTTTTTATCATAAAAATATTTTAAATGTGGTTTTTTAAAGAGCTCTTAGTATATTTTTTGGCCCCTTGATACAATGGCATTTTCAAAATATTGAAAATATTCAAAACGCCGAAAATTTGTTACCCACTCGTTATCCTATGTGCTGCCCATAGTTTCAAGAATAGTTTTTAGGCTATAAAACTTTTATAATAGATTTTTTCGCGCTGTAAAAAATCCCTTACTGTTAGTCTATCGTCTTGACGTTCGATCGATTGGTGTTTTCAAAACGTCATAAATCTCAGAAATTTGACTTTCCCCCGTTATCCTGTGTGCTGCCCATCGATTATGCTCAATTTTTGTTTATTCAAAAAATTTCCCGTTACATTATTTCGGGCTGAAATTGATTCTCTTGGTATATTTTTCGACACTCTAAACAGATTCGGAATCAGCGAAAAATTCTGCACAAGATAGACTTGGCCCGAATGGAATTTCCAGCCTACGTGAAAACACCTTACAGTTAGTATATCTTTCGACGCTCGATCGAATGGCACTTGCAAAATCGCGTAGTAATTGGAAATTTCAGAATAGTGAGTGCCCCATTTATTCCCGCCCCCGTGACCCTATGAGTACCGAACTACCCTTTAAAGGGCTGCCGATGGCATGTGTCGATCCCCCATCAACAAATTGGCAAGTAGCCAACAGGGCAGAGAGCACGCCCTGGGGAGAGGCGCAGAGACATTTTCTTTCCAGCGCGTAACCGATTGACTATGCCGTCGGTATCCCTTTAAAAGGCCGTCCGCCAGCTACCCGACCTGTCCCCATTATGGCCTGGCACAGTTTTTTTCGACCCCATTTTTTGATGCCATCGGAAAGAGCATGTTCGAATTAGTAGGGCTGCATAGTTTTGAAAGTTCAAAAAGTTAGTTTTTATGGTTTAAATGGGCCTAAAAGTTGCCGACCACGAAAAACTATCTTGGAAGTTACTGAACAGAATTGGCTAAAAATTTGGGAATATACCTATTTTGAGATTGGGATCATTTCTCTAATACATTGCGAAGCCTGAAAATGACCGGAACATGGTTAAATTGCGTACTAGAAACAGTTTTCGGGTTTTGCGACTAGTGCGGGCGATTGAGCGCCACTCACACGTGGTAGAGGAAGATGCGCGACATTTTTCGGCGTCGAATGACGTGCCAATTATGCGGCGCTCGGTCGCCCGCATATCTTAAAAACGCGTTTTTATGCCGAAAATGGCGATTTTTGCGGGTTTCGGAGGCCAGAACAGGCGGAGAGTGCGGGCGACCTGGAGGGCCTGAGACGGGCAGACAGCAGCCCTGGGGGGCAGGTCGGGTGCTGTGACAGAGCCCCCGACTTGACCACCCTAGCCGTCCCTGCCCTTTGCGCTCGCCGCACTCTCTCACCCCACCCACCCCCAGATTTCGACTAAAAATCGCCATTTTCGGCATAAAAATCGCATTTTTTTAAGGATATGCGGGCGACCGAGCGCCGCATAATTGGCACGTCATTCGACGCAGAAAATGTCGCGCATCTTCCTCTACCACGTGTGAGTGGCGCTCGATCGCCCGCATAGTCGCAAAACACGAAAAACTGTTTCTAGTACGCAATTTAACCATGTTCCGGTCATTTTCAGGCTTCGCAATGTATTAGAGAAAGGATCCCAATCTCAAAATAGGTATATTCCCAAATTTTTAGCCGATTCTGTTCAGTAACTTCCAAGATAGTTTTTCGTGGTCGGCAACTTTTAGGCCCATTTAAACCATAAAAATTAACTTTTTGAACTTTCAAAACTATGCAGCCCTACTAATTCGAACATGCTCTTTCCGATGGCATCAAAAAATGGGGTCGAAAAAAACTGTGCCAAGCCCTTTTCGGGTCCCTCGCGAACGGCCTTTTAATAATAGCGTTTTTCTTTTTCCTGTTCAAAATTATTATAAAACGTCACATTAAAAACAATATGCTTCAAATTTATTCAAATCCTCAGCCCCACTCGAGCCATTTCGGCCCCTCGCACGGGTTGTCGTCGCAAAGCGGGAACTGGAAAAGTTAGTTGTAAAAGGCTTAGGTTTAAGCTTAAGCTTAGGCTCAAGCTTAGGCTTAGGCTTAGACTTAAGGTTAAGCTCAAGCTTAGGCTTAGGCTTAGACTTAAGGTTAAGCTGAAGGCTTAGGCTTAGGCATCGGCGTAGGCTTAGGCTTGAGCTTGGGCTGGGAAGCATGCCCAGTCCCGCAGAGCAATTCGCCGCGCGCCGCAATCCACGTCGGCTGGGCACAGCATGCAACATTTCAGGCCCTGAAAATTTACAAAAATTTTTTCTATTCTCCAGAAAACATACCGCCTCACATTCCTTCGTCGACTGGCAGTATGTGCCTTTGGGTCGTCCAAGATCCGGATATTCCTCAATGTCGCAATTCATAATATCCAAAGTGCTAATGCCGACATTTCTCGGTAAGAGCTTACTTAACCCCCACCCCCACACCCCAAGGGTCCCAAGGTTTTTGATATTTTCGCTATTTTTGTCGGGATTTTTGCAACGCCTATCGATCGAGCATCGCAAAATATACTAAGAGTTTTAATTTGAGCCTACAATAATGTAAAATACAAGAGTTATAGCCAAAAAACTTCCGGCTCAGGTGGTAAGTAAACCGTAGCCTCAGCATTAATAATCCCGAAATTGATAATGCCGACATTTAAGAATGCCCCTTTGTTAATGTTAAAATTGAGGATTTCGCAATCTTAGAATCTAAAAATTTTTTAATGCCAGTTTCTGACTGTCAAAAGGTGCTGATGTAAAAATCAACAAGGCAAAATTTGAATTGAAAATACTAATGTCAAATTTTTTAATGTCGGGGATTCATAATGCCGAGATTTCCGAATACTGATATTTCAAAATTTCAGAATTCATCATGCCGAAATTTCGCAATGCATAATGTAGGAATTTCATAAAGCCAAGACTTGTTAATGTCGAGCTTTCATAGTGTTGAAATTTTAGATTGTCGAAATGTTAGTATCTCGAGGCTCCTTAATGTCGAAATTCATAATGTCGAAATTTGCTTAGGAAATCTGCCGGAAAGCCCTTCAAAACCAAAAAATTCGTCATTTGAATTTTCGAACTAATGAGTTTCGACATTATGATACAATACCCTTATTAGTCCGTTATCAGACAATCAAAGCGCTCCAATTATCAATATTTATTCTGCCTAACGGCCCCCGAATTACCTCGGTCGACACAGCAGTGATCAAGAGCACGACGCAGATAAACGGAAAGAGGCGCATTGGCTGGTTCAATGCTCCCATATCGGCCTTCATTGAATTTATAGCCGCTCATCTGTTTCGAATGTGTCGTTGCTGTGCACCGTTCCATCATTTTCGCCGGTTTTGCCCCGTAGTCCCGGAGGAGATTTGGCGAAAACACAGCAATACAGGGTGTCCCAATAACTCTCGAAACACTCGAACTCGACGCAAAGGTATCGGATCGAAACGATAGTTGCACCATTCCAGCCCTCGACACGGCGAATTTGCAACCATCATCTTCACAAACATGTTTTTATTTGAATCCGCTATTTCTAAACCTATTTTGTCAAAATTTCGGATTTTTCCGGGGCGGGTAGGAGCTAATTTGCCTCAATTCCTCCAAGCAAAATGACTGGAAGTTGCCTTTAATTAAATACAAATGACGTTCCTTGATGTTTTTAAATGCGTTGGAAAACGGCTCGTTTAAATAAAGATATAATATCTTTAAAGATTGTTGCAAACTCACCAGGTCACTGGCCTTTCGAATAGTATAACTATCGTTCCGATCCGCTACTTCTGCGTCCAGTTTGAGGGGTGTTTTTTTATTGGATCAACCTGCAGGCTTTTTAAGAAATCTTGGTCCAGAAAATTTTGTAAAAGGTTTTGTTTTCTCGCGGTTTGAAGTGCTTTTGCGAATGGCGTAAAAATCATCACGATCAGAGCTTCCGACGGAACGCTAGAGGGGATCGTTTTTTTGGGCCACTCTGTATTTTGTGCTGAAGGTCTATCGGAGAGAGATTCATCGAGAGCAATAAGCTGAAATTTATTCAACTCCTCATTCGAACTCGAGCCAGTTCGGCGACTCGCAGGGGCCATCGTCACAGGTGGGCGAGAACTGGAAAGGTTAGTTGTAAAATGCTGGTAACCGTGCCCATTCCTTCAAAACAATTCTTGCCTCAGTTCCTGGGCCGCAAGCTGCGTCGGCCGGGCACATCGTGCAGCATTTCAGGCCCTAAAAATTCAAATAAATACTTCGAGATTCAAAAATACCGCCTTACATTCCGTGGTCGAGGAACAGGGCGTGTCCTTGGCTTTCTGAAATGTATCGTTTCGAAAGATTTCAGGATTTTCAAGTTTTTCTAAAGCCGATCGGCTGCTTGTTTAAGGTTAAACCCTAAGGTACCCGGTAATACTTTACTTTATCCCACCCCCAGCCGGGAGTTCCGAAAAGTTTTTCGCTATAACATTTGTTTATTACACAATTTTGGGCTGTAATTAATATTCTTAGTATAATTTTTGATGCTTTATCGAATGACATAGACAAAATCCCGACAAAATAGCGGTAATTTCGAAAATTTTCGGCAATTCCGGCTACGGGGCAACAATGTAAAGTCTAGCCAAGTACCTTTTATTTTATTCACAAGCCGACTTACCTTGGCCGCTACGTAGCGATTAAAAGCGCGAGGCAGATGACTAGGAAGAAGCGCATTTTCGGATCCCGTTCTCCCCATATTGGTTTTCGTTCAATTTATAGCAGCTCTACTTTTTTGCAATTGTCGATACCAGTGCGCCGTTCCAGCATTGTGGCCACGTTTGCCAGTGGTCCCAACGGAGATTTGGGGAAAACAAAATGATACTTTAGGTAAAAAGAAATGATGAATTGTGTCGAAGCTGCCTTCCTGCTTGCTCGGCAAAACCAGGCTCAAAGGATAAACAGCCCTCAGGATCAGCCAATTTGCTGTTGTTAAATGGTTTAGGAAATGTTAGAAGCACCGCTTCTTTTACTTGGTTCAGACCGTTGCAGTCACTAATTTGCTAAAAACTTAATACTTTCAGGATCTTGCTTTTTCAAAACCTTCCAATACCCTACTCATAATTTGTCTAATTGTTCATACTTGTTAATTACAGGGTTCAAAAGCCGATTTTTAATTTCTTTTTTTATGCGCAATTCCTGCATTTCCGCGTTTCATTTTTCAATCTTCCAAAATTTGGTACTACCAAACTATACTCTCGTAAGTCGACAGCCTCAAAAAACTCATGGAGCCAGGAGACAGATTTCGGGTGCTTCCTGGTTATCGGGGGTCGGTTACTTTAGCGGGGGTCGGTTGGCATCTTCTTTTTGTTTAGCTTATAATTGCCTAGTGATAAATTGTAGTTTATTTTAATACTGTTTTTAGTAGCTTCCGATAATCAAAAATTATAAAAATATTTATTCTATAGTCACGAAATCTAGGGTTATAGCGCGGTTTTAGCCATTTTCATATACGTTAGAACGAAAAAGAAAAATTTCTTCAACATGTTTTATGACGTTTTTCTTAATGTCTCCTCCCCCGCTAACAGTCCAGAACCATTTCAAACGGCGCACAAGTCTATAAAAACGGCCAGCTTTTAATTAGCCGAACCGTGCGATATTATAGAAAAAAAGTTCGCAACCGACCCCCGCTAAAATAACCGACCCCCGATAACCAGGAAGCACCAGATTTCGTTCCACCGTCTTGTTCGACCGCTTTTTTCATCCTGCACCCATGGTTTCGGAGAAATATTATCAGAGAGATTGGGTGCACATAAACAAATGAATTCCCTGGTTGAAAGTCACCAAAATATACAAAAAAAAAAATTCTGTGGCCCTCCGAAGAATTGTATGAGACGCTATCCATCACTTTGTCGAAGGAGCTTTACTTTGTCGAGGAGCAGAAATCAACATGATTTAACTATGGTTAATGATTCATAATTATTTGAAGCTATCAATGTCATTGATTCCACAACATACTCAGCAGCAGCTAGATAAACATAAAAAATTACCAGGGTCATTTATTTGCGCAGCGCTGCTGGGCCGACCCTCCCCAATCCTATAAATTTCATTTCGAAATGAAGCCCATGACAAAACTGATACTACTATTTTTGATTATTTCGACTCTATCTGATTTTGCAATGTCTAACTCGGATGGCACTCCGGAGATCCAAAAATCTGATGCTGATCCAAACCTCAAGGAACCGGAAGAGAAGCCGGAAGGTTGGAATGGTATGCTTAACAAGACTGTTGATAGGCTTGTCTTTGAGAAAGAGAGACAGTCAACCAGCGGGAGAGATAGCGATGCAGCATGAGATAGAGATGGGGAGAGAGAGCTAGAGAGAGAGATAGGGAGAGATATAGAGATAGAGATAGAGAGAGAGGGAGAGAGAGAGAGAGAGAGAGAGAGAGAGAGAGAGAGAGAGAGAGAGAGAGAGAGAGAGAGAGAGAGAGAATCAGCGAGCGGGAGTGATAACGAGGGAGCATGAGATAGAGATGGAGAGAGAGTTAGAGAGAGAGAGAAAGTGAGAGAAAGAGAGATAAATTACGGAATTGTGGTAAAATTGTGAATTTTCAGTAGTGAGCCAGTCGCCACCACGTCCGTGCTGGAGAAATACCGACAAACCAATTCCACCTGAAGAGCTGGAAAAGGCCGAAAATGGGAACAATAATCAAAATAAATCATTTTAAATTTTATACAATCAATACATAGGTTTCGATCAAATAACAGCTGCCATTAATGGCAAAGAACGAAAAATTTATATAATCCTAGAAGTAGCTGGTGCGATGACAATACTGCCTTTTTTGGGTGTAGCAAGTGATCGCGATCGCAGGATCAGCTCGGACAATTTTGGCCGATATCAAGGTCAAATCTTTGGATATAAGACATAGCCAAGTGGCCAACTACAGAACCTTCCGAACCTACCCTAACAATTAAATTATGAAAATCGCGCTGTTCTTGGTCGTTGCCTTCATCCTGTTGAGTCAAACCTCGGCGATGCGATTCACAAGAGGATTTGTGAGTTGAAGCTTTGCAGCTATACTTAGTATATTTTTTTCTCCTTGATTCCATATACAGGGTGTCCCAAAAAAAAATCGACCCCCTCTAGCGGGCCGCAGTCATGTCCGATTTTGACGATTTAGGTATCTATCGAAAGCACTCGAATAGGCGAGAAAACAAGCACTTTTCGTTTTTCAATATGGGAATTTTAATTCATAAAATTTAGGGCCAAAATCGATGAAAACTGCAGATTTTATGCAAAATCGGCATGTTAATTGCTTGCTAAAGCAAACAGGACGATGCTGGTTTTACGCTTTTTACAGAAATCATTGAATATCGAGCGAAGGCTAAAATTTTTGGGAAAACCAAAGGCGCTTGTTTTCTCACCGTTTGAAGGGCTTTCGAATGGTGTGAAAATCATTCCGATCCGAGCTTTCTGCGGTCCGCTAGAGGGGGGTCGATTTTTTTTGGGACACCCTGTAAATCATGTTTTTTAGAAATCCACCAACGAACGCTGCGAATACTCAAGGGAATGCGCACCGGTAGTTTCTTCGAAGAATTTCGAAATCTAAAATTCTAGGGACTTTACTGCTACGGGCTATGCCCGCCAATGTTTCACTGCGTTCGAGAAACCGCGGTGGGTTTATATTTAATTTTTTTTTGCTGTATTTAAGTGCTACCACGCTATAAAATTCGATCAAATGCTATTTCCCCCGTATCTCTTGCTAAATGATTTCCATTTCCAAAGCGTTTTTAGGCCTTCCCAGCTTGCCGTACTCGCGGTGACGTCCGGCTTGACTGACGCGCCAAAAAAAAGTTTAAATTCACAAAAAAAATCGATAAAGAATTCGGCATGTTTTGCATGTATTTAAGGTTCACAATTATACTTATTTCTCCGGAATTGAGCAAAGAATTAATCTTTTTCTGAAAAATTGGAGGCAGGATTATTGGGCTTCATTAGCAGTAATCTTTTTCCTCAATAATTCCCACCATCAAAAGAAACCCATGGGTTTTTTTCAGCAATCAAAGCCCCCTAGGGAAAAATTTGGCAAAGTCGGATTTTGAAAAGCCAGCCTTCAGTTCTCATTTTGAAAATGCGTCCGATCGGCTGGTTGCTGTTTTTCTTAAAAACAGTTTTTGCTGGGCAACCCTGCCAGGACGGCGGCTTGGAATTTTTTGAGAGCTTCAACACCTCGTCGTGCATCTACTTTGAGTACGAAGGTAACCGTTCTGATCTTTGCTTTCAACATTTTAGCGCTAAACTACAACGATGCCAAAAACTCATGCCTATCCCGGGGACTCGATTTGATCCAATTTCGGGACGTGAGCACGAGCATGTTCGTGAATTCGTTTATTCCGGACAGTAAGTCAAATACACTAGGCACATTGTCTAAATTTTACCTCAGATAATCAAGACGAGCCGTGGTACATTGGTGTAGAGCGGAATCGCGACGGCGTCTGGGTGTATGCGGATAACACAACGCTGCAGTACACGAACTGGGCAGCCGGTTCGTCAGTGTCGTCTGAATTTCAAGAAAACTATATGCCCGACTTGATCAACGCTAGTTAGGGTCCGCTACGTACGTTTTAGATGCCACGGATGAGGTGATACGGTACGAATGCGTGACGATGAAGCTGGGAGATGGATTCTGGAGGCCGAGTGATTGCGAAACGCCTCGACGACATATTTGCCAGGGTGGAAAGGGTGAGAGAGCGAGAGAGAGCGAGAGAGAGCGAGAGAGAGAGCGGGAGAGAGAGCGAACGCAAGGGAGCGTGAGAGAGAGAAGAGGAAGAGAGAGAGAGAGAGAGAGAGAGAGAGAGAGAGAGGAAAAGAGATAGAGAGAGAGAGAGAGAGAGAGAGAGGAAAAAAGAGATAGAGAGAGAGAGAGAGCGCGCGCGAGAAAGCGTGGGAGAGAGAGCGCGTGAGAGCGAGAGAGGGAGAGAGCGCGTGAGAGACAGACAGAGATAGTGAAATAATGGGAGGGAGACGGAGCTAGTGAGATTCATTTTTTTCAGATTCATGCCCGCCGGAATGGCACTACTTTCAGGAGACGCAAACATGCCTCTATTTTTCGGTAGTTTAGGCAGCCCTCTCGGAAACCCATTTCAGAATTTCACCCTACGCCCCGATGGTGACATAAAGCTCTTTATGCCAGAGCAAGCCGCGGAGGCCTGTGCCGAAAAAGATGGGCAGCTCGCAAATATTTTCGAAGGGTTCGCAGAAGTATTATGGAAAGTAAGTTACAGCAAAAATTACGCGAACCTGTAAAATTCAGTATTTGTGCGGCTTTATAATCCCCATAGAAATACACCGGAGGTCTCGGCATATTTTGTGCGATCTAAAAACTAAAAAAGACACTGTTGCCTCATTTCCTATATCCCCATTGCAGAATTCCAAGCGGAAATCAAGGCCGACGAAAAATTTGTATCCGAGCATGGTGCGGCTTACAATTTCACCTGCGAATTGTACGCCTCGATGTGGCTGCGTTTTTATGAAGGTGGCGAGGTCCCATCACCGGCCAAACATAGCCGGCCACATTACGCACGGGTAGGCAGGCTTAGGCTTAGGCACAGGCTGAGGCTGAGGCTTAGGCTTAGGTTTAGGCTTCGCTTAGCCTCAGACTTAGGTTTGTCTTTGGCTTCGGCTTCGACCGGCTTAGAGTTCGGCTTAGCCACAGGCTGAGGCTGAGAATTTGGCTTAGGTTTAGGCGTAGACTTCGGCTTAGGTTTAGGCTTCGGCTTAGGCCTCGACTTAGCTTTGATTCATAATCTTTTTTAAGATTAACCAAGACTCCGATTGCGAAAAATATTCCCACTTCGTCGACCAGAATATTACCGTCACCTTTCCACGCTACATTTGCGAACGTGCGATGCGATTTTCGGAGCCACTTTATTAACTATTACGTTCGAGGACAAAACACAAAATTACTCGCAATTAAATAAATGTAATCCTGTGTGGATGTAGCGTTTCAAAGATGCAAAACATTTCATCAGAATCGCAGTATTTTTTTTCTTTAAAGGCGATCATTTGAATCGCGAAATCTTTTATTAATGTCGTAATTTGCATATCTCAGGACAGAGAACAAAGTCCAAACCGGCAGATCCCCCGGATTCAAATGTATATCTGCCAAAAAGGCCCGAGGGCAAAATCGAAGCCATCCACAGATGGGTGACCTATATTAGGGTATATAAGCCGAAAACTTCGAGCATAAGTTATTCCCTCCCCCAACCCCAAGGATGCGTTCCTTATTCCTGCTACCGCTTCTGGCTACCGTATCCCTGGCCTTTGTCAAGGCCACCCCCAAGGTGATCACCGGTACCACCACGCCGGTTTTCACGACCCCGAAACCGACCCTGAAAGCTGTTACTAAATTCCAAACTACACCCTCGACGTCCACTACGACCACTACGGCTTCTACCACTTCTACATCTACTAGCACTACTACCACCACGGCTACTACCATGACCTTCAATAAGGATACTGAGGAAGTTCGGGTTGGTTATCATGATACCTCAACAAGTTTTATAAGCCTGATAATATATGCATAATTACAATGGAACAATTTAATTAAGATAAATCGAGTTAATTTTTTAAAGGTTATTGCCAAATACGCCAGTTTTTCATACCTATAGTATCAATTTTTATCGTAATTGTAACCGCGGCTCTATTTTTAGCCTCGGAATTCCAAAAACCGTTTACGCTTAAAAATGTATGTTAATCTTAGGTCCAAATTTTATGAATGCCAAGCCTTAGCTTTCCAGATTGTTTCTTGAATTTTTGCCGTAAGAGCTAGCAGACGTTATTAGAAAATTAAGGCTGGGACTTGACGAGAATTTCTGATTACGGTAGCTACGACAAAAATATGTTTTTGAGGACTGACAAGCTAGCAAAGCTTGCTTATGAAATTGCAAAAAAATTGTCTCCTAACGAAATTTATTTAAAGGCAAGGACTTTTCGCCGCTACATCTGAACCCCAAAAATTAGCGATTTTTAAGTCAACGCAATTAACGTTTTGATGTAAATTTTTATCGCAAAATCTGATATAAAACACAACAAAATAAAACAATTAAATTGCTGGGTTGGATCCTAATTAATCCACCCCTTTCAGGTTCCTAAGTGCAACTGCAACCAGACGCAAACCTGCCGCGAGTCGATCATCTCGGAAGTGAGCCCGTGCTTCGACGAGTGCCACTATCACCTGGAGGTGCTCGGCAAGTCGGACAGCAACTTCCTCGAGTGCTTCACCGACAAGAACATCCAAGGCTTCACCAATGCCGAGATGTGCCTCCTCGCGGAAGTGGGAGATCTGTAGGTTTTGGCTGGCTCTCTCTTCCTCCCCCCCTCTCTCTCTCTCTAGTTGTCTCTCTCTCTCTCTCTCTATTTCTCTCTCCCACCCTATCGATTTTTTAGGTGCACCAACTCCACGGAAACCGAGTACATGGTTCAGCCCGATTACACCCCGTACACCAACTTCCACTACCGCAACCAGAGCGCCCAGAAGCTGTACACCAACTTCGAGAAGGTCAGTTGTTGCTAGAGTCTCTTTCTCTCTCTCGCTCTCTCTGTCGCTCTCTCTCCCTCTGATCCATTTTTTTCAGAAAGCCCACAAGACCTTCCAAACGTTCCAATCCTTCTACCACTGCGCCAAGCATTGCGTCCACAAGAAGATGCTCGAGTGCCTCGTCAACGTCGAGGAGTGCGTTGTTGAACTCCCGACGCTCGACACCTTCATGGAGTCGATGAACAACTGCGCCAAGAACCACAAGCTCGTCCATCTGAACCTGTGGTAAGGATTTTTACGAACTCTCTCTCTCTCTCTCTCTCTCTCTCTCTTTCTCTCTCTATCTCGCTCTCTCGCTCTGTCTCTCACGCTTTCATCCAATTCCACTATTTTCCAGGAACTCGTGCCGTTGCCTGATCGAGAAGAAGAAGCTCACCCAGCTGACCGGACAGTGCGCCGTCCTCGTCAACCCCTACTACGTTAACAAGTTCTAAAACAATTTTTGTATTTTTTGTTGGTCTCCAGCTCTCCCGTTGTTCGAAAACCGGTTTTTTTTCTGTTAATAAAATTTTTCTGAAACAATACCAGCTATTGTGTAAGTGAGGCTTCACACTTAGAAGCGTGATAGAGGCTGAGCAAGAGCAAAAAGAGAGAAAAAAGAGACAGAGGGATATACGGCAAGAGAGAGAGAGCGAAAGGGTGAGGGAGAGAGAGAGAAAGAGAAAGAGAGAGAGAGAGAGAGAGAGAGAGAGAGAGAGAGAGAGGGGGGAGTGAGCAAGAGTGATAGAAAGTTAGCGAGTGATAGATAGAAAGAGATAGCGAGAGTGAGCGTCACCTGCTGTCACACTCCCTTGAATGTAATTTTCGAACAAGGAGGCCAAAGTCTGCTCCCGAAATTAGCGAGCTTTTTTTCCTATCAAGCCTAAAAGTGAGCCCATGCTCCACAATCTACCGTATCCCTCCTCTCTCATTCATCAATCAACCCGTATCAACCACCAGACTGGCAACTTCGGGCTAGCCTTTCGGGATCAAATACCGCAAAACGCGAGCGCTACGTGCACCTTTCAAAAACTGAAAGAAGGGCCGCGTGACCTTCTCGGAATTTTTGCGCAATGATAGCGCAATTAGTGCATTTTCGATGAGCAGGGCGGCTCGATCGAGTTTTTTAGAGACGGCTAGCGATACCATCACCCAGCTCAGCCGCTATATGGAAGGATTAAAAAGTCAAAGCTGATTTTGTAGTCTAGTTAATTCTATTATAAACTTTATTAAGATCATGAAAAATTTAATTTCTTTGCTCCTTCGGTTTTAAAATGTGATTTAGGAAATTTTGGGAAACACCCGATTTTGGTGCATAACGCATTCCAGAATGCCGTTAGCCGAAAACTTGACAATCGAAAGGCTGATCCACCAACACCGAAATCGAGGAAAAACAAAAATTAAGTATGGATGTGTTCGAAAGAAATTTCGGCTGTCAGCATTTTCGTTGCGGTAATCGGAAGTATGAGTTTTTGCAAATTTTATTTCTTAATTTTTCTACAATACCCCACTTCAATTTCTTAGTTTTTAACAGCGAAGTTTGAAAAATTCATCTTCTATTTGCTGAAATTTCACACCACTTTCTATCGCCCTATATTTGTTTGTTTATAGAATGTGAATGTGCTGGCCGAGAGGACTTTTGGGGCGAGAGTGCGAAATTGATGGAGAGGACCTAGAGAAAGACATTGGAGCCAAGGCCAGCAGCGAGCAGCTTCTCCCTTTTTGTGTAGGGCAGAGGGTGAAAAAATGGCATTAAGGCGGGAGAGAGAGGGAGAGAGAGAGAGAGAGAGAGATAGAGAGAGAAAGAGAGAGAACAGGAAAGAAGAAACTCTGGCCCAAAGGATGCGCTGCCCCGCACACTCCTTTCACATCCACTCACTCCCTTATTCTCAACTTCACTGCGGTCCTGGTCCTTTGATCAAAGCTGCCTTAATTTGCATAAACTACGATTTTTTTATGCCTTATTTGGTCTCACAGAAAATTATATCCTTTTTAAACCATCTTAGTTAGCTTTGAATCGTCATTAGTTTACACCCTTTGCTTGACATTTGCTGCAAAGAAAACAATTTTTTAAGAATGATTTCAGACGGCTGAAGGTGTTATTTTCTCTCCTCACTTCTGTAAAAAATAAAATATGCAAATTTATGGCTCAATTCCCTGAAACTACCTGAAAACTACCGTACTTTCTATTCTTCAGCGTGCGATGTGCAGCTACTTTCCGCCAGTCGGAGCACAATTTTTCCTACATGACTATTTTTTCGGAGCAGCTCCTCTCGAGGCCCATACCACCTGCATGTTGGTCGTAAATTAATTTTTATTTTCAGCCAGACGCGAGGCTTTGCATGTTTTATGGCTGTCTGAGGGTGACAGAAGGCATAGGGACAGAACCTCGTGCTCGGCTTTATTTTTAGCCGTTTTTTTGTAAGTTCTCAAACTCCTTTCGCGGAAGAATCTTTGCTCGTCCACTTGTTGCTATCAAAGCTCACCCTAATGCGACAAAGAATTCAATTATAAACCAAATGCACTTGTTCCTTTTTGAAAAATATCAAACGCCTATTTTAGAAGATCAAAAGAACTAAAATGACATTTCGAAGCCTGGGGTGCTTTTTTTATTTCCGGGTCCTTCCTGGTCCCATTAGAAACTTCTGAATATCCTAAAAAAATCAAAAATTGTCAAAATCATTTAGTATATCGATAATAAGTCAATAAAATATCAACACTTGTTTCTATCCAAAGGATCTCTGCTATTTCTCAAACCCCGGTACGCCGTTTTCGCCGGCCAGACTGCCGGAAAAACCATCGACCTAAAACCGTGATTTCCGGCGATTTTGCCTAAGCAGTCTCAATTCCATTGCCCGGTTCGCTTTTTGCTATTTTACCATTCCACCGTCAGACCCCCACACATCACCAGGACTCAAAATTTTCATTGGTTCCGTTTACCCAATCCAACCCGGCCCGGGTCATTTGATTCTATCGCCCGGGCGCGCCTAATTTATTGCTCCGGCAATGAGCGCTTTTTTGGGATCAGCAAAGTATCACGCCAGTACCTACAGCAAGAAGAGATCGAGCGGGACTCGCTCGAAAAATTAGAGAAATCAAGAAAAAAATCGCGAGCAATGGGGAAATTTTATGGCGCTTCTTCGCTCTACATGATCCTGGGGAGCTCGTTTTCAAGTCTAGCCGCTCCATCAAGCTGATAATGATAGGATCGACCCTGTGTTTTCTTCTCTCCATCTCGGCTAGATGTACGGTGGATGTTCATCTTCAGTGCTTGGGAACTTTTGGAAAATCACTTCCTCCTTTAAAGGGATCATTAAGGCTGACTATGGATTTCTGGCCTCCATGCACCCCAATTTTCCACGCAAGCGATACCCAACGCGTTCAATGTTTGGTATAGTTGCTACGGTCGTAATCGATAAAAACATGACTTGCGCATCCCTTTAAAGATGAAAACTTTACTTCGAAGGACTTTGCTGAAGAAAATAGTAATTTGTTCGAATAACATTAATTACCACATGATTTGTGTGCGTGCCCTACAAATTGGCGAGAATGGTCTTAGGGGCTAAAAAAATTCTAGCAAAGCATCTACTTATACCTTGCTGCTCCTGTAACCGCACCGTCTAAAAATAACTTAAAATAATTTTTCCCGATCCCAGTCGAAAATCCGGATGAAAACCCCACCACCTACGCAAGGATCAAAATCGCCGAAAACAGAAATCATGCCTATTTTAAGATGGGCTTATTTTTGTCTCTCTCGACTTCCATTTCAAAATTAGTTTTTTAGCCACAGGAAATCCGCGGGACCCATTCGGATGCCCCACTGCGGCTCCCACCGGCTTTTAGCCGGATGAGCGGGAGGCAGGAACGCAAATGAGGGCAATTCCGGGCGATGTGCGGAATGTGGGCGGGCGGAGCAGGAGGAGGATGAGCTTTTTTGGCTTTAGAAGTCTTCGCGGATTCTCGCAAACTGCTCTTCCTTGTGACTCGTCGGCTTCTAAGGCGAATTTTTAGCAAGCTTTTTAATGAAACGCAGAGCTCATAGAAGCTTGTACTGGCGCATTAAGGATTCTTCTGTTCCCGAAAATCTAAGCCTTGAAATCGGAAGCTCAGGATCTTTCAAACTCGATTTTAGGGCAATCTAATTCATAGATCTACGAAATACGGCTTCCGGTCCCGAAAAAGGTCACAAACCTAAAAATAGCGGAATGCCACGCCGCCGGAGGCTTTACTCGAGTCCGACAACGAATTACCCGGCTTCCGGTTTTCTCGATGTGTTTTTTGGCGTTAAAGAACATGTCACCTGTCTGTTGGTCGGTCAAGTAAGCCTCAAGAAATGCCGAGGGCACCCGGCGGAGAAATTGGATTCCACCAACCTCCTTTCCTTACATTTACACAAATTCGATTCCCACGCCCGCAAAAAGCGCATCTCCCGTCCGCGCACCCGTTCCGCCAAAAAGACGCCTGCCTAGGGCTTATATAAGCAACCTTTCTGCAAGAATGCCGACACCAAAAATGCCGACAACCGAAATGCCCAAAAGTTTAATCTGAGGATCTCATAATTCAGGCGAAATTCCAAACTAATCGTCTTGTCAATTTCGTTACGGGTTTCGGGCAGTTTTTTATTTTTTTGGTTTTCGGCATTTTCCAATGTCGGTATTTATACTTTTTTGTTTGCCAAAATACAGGGTGGCGATTAAGTATTTGCGCCTGTTTCAAGCACGTTTTTAGGAGCTAAATCGTAGTCGGCAGAAAAAACAAATAAGTTCATTTTGTAGAGAATTTTTTTGCTCTATCAGATGCAAGATGAAAACAGGAAACCGCTTCACCACACAATTTTAATTTGTCTAAACATGTAAAACCGCGTTTTTTTGTATGGATTTTCTTCATTTTTGAGGAGCTCAGAAATCTTTTCGAAGAAGCTAGATATATTTCCCGATGTTTGATCGTGAAGAAATTTGATCGCATAACCATGCACTTCATTCCATCGTTTTGTGCAAATATTTTGAGCTTTTTGAACGCCCTTAAGCTTTTCCGGACCGTCTGGATCGCTTAACCAAGTCGCCGTCATGGCAAACATCTTCGACAAGTGATTGTAGAAATTTGAGACATTTTGTGTTTTTTGTGAAAAAACCTCCCGCGCGGCTCAATTTTGGTGGTCGAGAAAACTACGAATAAATCTAGGACCCGATTAGAAATAATTTTTCTGTCTACTGCATTTGCTAAAGGGCATTGCAAGGAATATAAAGACCGTTTGTTGTTTTGGCCAACTGAGATACTTAGGCTGAAAAGCTTAAACAAAGGGACCAGATACGCGCGGCCCTCGCTGATGTTTAGGCGCTTCTCTCAAAGGTCATATCTTGAAAATTTAAGAATTAGGGCCGTAAATTTTTTGATATCCGTAATTAGGTTAATTTAGCTACATTATGGTCGTTAAATAATTTCCGAGACACGCTTCGATCATTTTTTACGCTGCCTTTCCTGGCGCAAGTACTTAATCGCCACCCTGTAATGCCCTCGGTTTCGCAAAAAGCGCGTCTGCCCGCCGCTTCAGCTAAAAGACGTTTTCTCAGAGCCCCTGTCACCAAAAATTTTCCCGAAATATCGACATTCAAAATGTCGAGAGCCGAAATTCGGTATTCGCATTTATGACTGCCAAAATACCGACGTCGAAAAAGCCACGAACCCATGTTCCGACATTGCAAATGACTACGCATTTCGAAAGAAAACTTCAAAATCTGTCCGAATGTCGGCATTTTTACCGTTTTGACAATATTTTGTTCCCCCGTCGCGAAAACCGCGTCCCGCCCGCCCCGGGTCCGTTAAAAAGCATCTCCCCCGCACGCTCCAGCCCTTTTTAAGCGGATGGGTATTTGGCGACCTTCATCACGTTCTTTTTGGCTTGATGTGCAAGTTGCCAACTTTTGCCAAAATTTGTGGTTTGATCATATGTTTGAATATGATTCGATTCGAGCATTTTTCACGATATTGTGTCTCGCAAATTGGGCCAGGATACTCCGTTTTGTTGCTCTCGGCAAGCATATGAAAGTTCGAGTTTTGAAGTCGATCTTTGAGACTGCAGTTGCATAGGTCCTTTTATGATATTCTAAATGTTGTGGCCCTTCAGAAACGCTTGCTTCGCATTAAATTAAACGTTTTGTATTTGCATGGTTGTTCTTGTTCCATATTGTTTCCCCCAAATGCTGACTGACACGCCAGGAGCAGGGCCACATTTCGCTTGCCGGTCTGGGCTTCTAGGGAAGAAGCCCGGCAATTTTCTTGGTTTTCTAGCGTTTCTCTTACTAAACGGGAAGGTTTGTGGCCTTGCATAATAGTACGTTACGCTACGCGAGGATACAAATTTTTATGTAACAAACCTGCTACAAAAATTTGATTTTCAGAATTAGGTTCTTCTTTCCCATTTTGTCTTTCTCTCCCCCTCTCTCTCTCTCTTTCTGTCACTCTCTCCCTCTCTCGCTCTCTCTTTCTCGCTCTCTCTCTCGCTATCTCTGTCTCTCTAACTCGCTGACTCTCTCTCTCTCTGTCTCACTCTCTCTCGCTCGCTCTCCCTCGCTATCTCTGTATCACTCTCGCACTCTCTCTCTCTCTCTCTCTCTCTCTCTCTCTCTTTCTCTGTCTCACTCTCTCTAACCAAAAATTTTAAGAATATGGCGATCACCAGTGAGTACGAGCCAATCCGGGCCAAGCCTGAAGACGCCAAAGAAATTGAAGAATTCCTAGTAGCCGATTTTCTCATCACAGAGCCCCTGAATGCAGCTGTCCGGCTGAGCCGACCTGATTGCCATCAAATTCTAGAAGGTAAATTTTTATGACTTTAATATATTGCCATTTATGCGAAAATTAGCGAGCCGCGGCGCATGGCTGCCAGGTTTGGATTTCATTTCGTGACTGCCCCCCGCTTCTCGCGTCTTCTTTTTACTGATTTTACTTTCCTATCGTTTGCCGTATACTAATTTGGTTGGTCAGAAAAACGTTGTAAATGTAAAATACAAAATATTTAAAAAGACTGGCTGAACCAACTATTTTTAGTTTTTTTTGCAGGGATCGTTTTGTCTATCGATTTTAAGGCTAATTTAAAGGGGCGGAGCCAGCAAAGAAATCGATACCCTCTAAGCCGAAAATTTAAAAATTTAATTTTAACGCGAATGTTATATAAGGCCAAGTTTATAACTTTCTGAAGGCTCTGCAAAGCAGCCGGCAGCTGTCACGCTCCCTTTAATCGAGCCAGCTCGTCTTTTGAAGATTCGAGGTGAAATTTTGCCTTCTGCTTTGCTTTGCCTGAACTGTAGTTCTTGATCAAAAATTTAGTCCAGCTCGGCTTATCTTTTGCTTTCTCCCTGCTTTTTCTGACCAGCCGAAAATATATTTTGGTCATGGTATGAAAATATGAATTTTTAGACCTCGCCAAAGATTCGGCCAACTCTGGCCATACTGCATTGTTAAGAAACGAGCAAGGGGAAATGATTGGAGTTGCGATGTGTACGGTAGGTTTTGAGAGAGAGAGAGAGAGAGGGGTTGGGCTGGCATGGATAGCTGCCCTGACTTGAGATAGGCATTCCGCGTGCCCCGGTAGCTCAATAGGTAGAGCATCGGACTCGAAAGCCGTTGGATGCGGGTTCGACCCCCGCCCGGAGCACTTGTTTTGCGGATTGGACCCTGAGCTATCTTTGGACCTAGGAAGCCCGTAATTCCTAACTAAAGAGCGCGAGAAAGAGAAAGAGAAAGAAGAGAGAGACAGAAAGATCAATGGAGGGAGAGGGAAGCTAAAAATACCTAAAAATTTAGGTGTCAACCGTCCAAAAAATTGAGGACGCCCCGATGCCATGCAGCTCGCAAATTCCCGGCAAGATGGATTATATTGCGAATTTTTTGTGGCAGTTGGATAGAGGGGTAAACATCTGCATTTTTCATACGCAGCCCTTAGATAATTTATTCTTAATTGTGTCCAAATTTAATGCCATCTATATGAATTTTAGCTCAAGCCCGCCTGCCCTGAGCACTACGAAAAAGTGATGAAGTTTGAGATTTTGAGGTGTAGTAGCTACCTAATTCTTAAAAAACTCGATTTTAGCATTCATGCAAAATACACAAGGCAAGGACTTGGAGCTAAATTGATAAAATGGGTAGTGGCAGAGGCGAAGGAGATGAACGTTCCGATTGTGGTTGAAGTGACGGCGCTTGCTACGCAAAAGGTGAGAGAGAGAGAGGGAGAGAGAGAGAGAGAAAATGAGACTGAGAGAGACAGAATGAGAGCGGGAGAGAGAGAGTGAGAGTGTGTGTGTGATAGAGAGCGAGAGAGAGAAAGAGTGAGAGAGATCGAACGAGAGAAAGAGCGAAAAAGAAGGAGAGAGAGAGAGAGAGAGAGAGAGAGAGAGAGAGAACTGATGTTCACATTTTTCCAGCTCTTCCCCAAATTCGGCTTTGAAATTGTCTTCGAAATCCTCCATTCACGCTACGTCGAAGTCATGGGAAAAAGTATCTTCAACTGCTCTGATGGGACCGACAGAGGCCAATTACTACTGTGGTTACCGTAGAATAAATTGTACTTTAAGGTTGTATACTTGTAGAATAAAATATTTTCCATTTTCTTGCTTGGCTTTGTTTTCTTGGTGCTGAACCTGCCAGTAACGCTTCCCCATTAATGCTAATCCGCATGAATACCAAACAACATTAATTTTTGGGAGACATTCCCACGCTTCCAGGGATCTTCCTCTCTTTTTTTGGTCGCCCGGGTGACACACAAACGGCGCTGAATAATAGTTGCTTTTTAGCGTGGAATACGTGTTTATTGTTGTCATTTTCACCTGTCTGGTGGCTCCGAAGTGCTTTAAGACTTGCCTTATTTTTCAGACCAACTTTTGGCTAAGAATTTTATTAAATTTTTGACAAAAATTTTAATAGACAGAAAACGGCGCTCGAAACCTGCTTCATAAACATTTAAAAATTATAAACTGAAGTTGTAGCGACAAAAAAAGACGCTGTCCGCTGCTTGATTCTGTTTATGTGTCGTTCCGACTTTTCCCCTGGATTTTTTTCCGGAGCCGCTTTGTTTTAATAAGCTGTTCATTTATTTTAATGGTAGTTTTCTTAATTAAAACTGTCCTCATCATATAGCCACAACAAAAATGTCTATTTAACCAACGCAGAGAACACTCAGGACTAATTCTAATATCGCTTTTCCTATTCACTGTCTCTCTCTACCCCTCTATCTCTCTCTCTCTCTCTCTCTCTCTCTCTCTCTCTCTCTCTCTCTCTCTCTCTCTCTCTCTCTCTCCCTCTCTCTCTCTCTCTCTCTCTCTCTCTCTCTCTCTCTCTCTCTCTCTCGCTGTCTCTCTCTCTATTTTTGGCACTCCTTACTGTCTCTATCTATCACAATTTTTCTCTCCCTATCTCTCGCTCCCTCTCTCTCACTCTCTCTCTCACTTTAAATATTTTTTTCTCATAAATCCTGAATTCAGCCCAAAATTGACAGGGATGGTACTTTCATACGGCCATAGACTATCATAGACCATCACTCAACCGTTAATAATTCGATTTTGAGCCGATTCGGTCGAGAGCGTGGTGGGGAACCGGCACGAGTGGGCAAACACGAGCGTTTTCGGGGGATCGCCTCACTCGATGCGGGTCCAGACTCCAAAAATTTTTTGTTGCTTTTAGGTACACTTCCTGTTTTTGGTAATTGAATACCGAACTTTATCGCTAACTTGAACAATTCTGGATATAGCGTTTGATTGGATTGCTACCAAACCTCAAACAGAGAAGCTTCTGAAATTTTCTTAAACATTTTTTGGCAATGCTTCTCCGGTGCTGACAATTATTGGTTGTGAAAAACTATGTTTTATTAATAAAATGGATTCAGATGTCGACGCCTAACAATTTTGCAATTATCCGGGCCGAGCCGAAAGACACCGAGGAGATCCGACAATTCCTAATCAACTCCTTCGTTACAACGGAGCCAATTAGCAAATCGATCGGTCTCCAGGCTACCGATTCCGCTGATTTTATGAAAGGCAAGTGTATCGGATCGATTCTCATTCCATACCTTTTCATTCCCCAAAATCCATAGCCCAAAATCGCGAATCTCACTCGCTTGTCGACTCTCTGATGTGGTTTTAGAAACTGCTAAAGTATCAGCCGAATCGGGTCGTTCCGCCTTGCTACGGAATGACGCTGGCGAGATTATTGGCGTTGCGCTTCTGTCGGTTTGTAGGACCTTTAGTTGTATTTATTTTCCGTTAAGGTTCAACCGGTGGAGAAGATCTACGACGCTCCAAAGCCACCAGACCCTAAAACTGGCGGAAAAATGCTACTCATCGCGAATTTTCTCTGGGCCCTGGATCAGGGTGTAGGCTTCTAACTTCTCAGCTTTTTATCAGTTTTGTTTTAGTTGAAAAACCACCTGTCGCCTGATACAAAAGAAGTGGTCAAGTTCGAGATTATAAAGTGGGTTTCGGTTTGCTTTCACTCTCATTCTCTATCTCTCTGGCTCTCTCGCCTCTCTCTCGTTCTCTCTCACTCTCTCATTTTCTCACTCTCTCTACCTCTCCCTTTCTCTCTCTCTCTCTCTCTCTCTCTCTCTCTCTCTCTCTCTCTCTCTCTCTCTCTCTCTCTCTCTCTCTCTCTCACTCTCTCTCTCTCTCTCTCTCTCTCTGATTCTCTCATTTTCTCACTCTCTCCCCTCCCTCTCTCTCTCTCTCTCTCTCTCTCTCTCTCTCTCTCTCTGGCTCTCGCTCTCTCGTGACAAGATGCAAATTTCAGCCTCAATCCAAACTACACCCGACGTGGACTCGCTCAAAAATTAATGGATTGGTCAATGGAAGAGGTGAAAAAGCTCAATCTGCCTATTTATACACAAGTGACCGCTATCGCCTCACAACGGGTAATTTTTTAAAACACCTAACTACGAAAGATCTAAGTTATTCAATTTTTTAACACAAATTAATTTTTAGCTTTTCGCTAAGTACGGCTTCCAAGTGAACCACGAGATTTTGCACAAGGATTGGTTGGATGAGGATGGTAACCAGATTTTCCGATGTGATGACGGCACGGATCGAGGGCAACTGATTTCTAGGATGCCATAAATATTTTGAATTTTCCAGAATTTGAATACAGTAAACAGAAATTGCAGCGCTAACAATACAACATCTTGAGCAGGGTTGGTCACGCTGGATCCTAAGCGGATCCGGTCCGGTCCGGTCCGAAATTTCCATCCGGACCGGACCGGACCTGTCCGGTCCGTGGCGGACCGAGGGTTTTGATTTGCTAGGAGAAACGGAAATGCAACATGCAAATTCGGATTGCAAAAAGAGTGGCGTACGAAAAAATGACGAAATGTGGAATTCGCTTAGTCAAAAAATGTATAAAATTACTCATTCCCCATTACTTTTTGGCTATATACGCGACGGATAGTAGCATAGATGTGGAAAAATATGTCAAATTCTTGGAGAGTAGTATTTTGCATACAAACTTTTCCATATCTGGCAGCTGAATCATGTCCTTTGTGTTCAGCCCGGACCGGACCGCGGACCGTCCGCGGACCGGATCCTTTGTGACCAACCCTGATCTTGAGCGACTTAAAAAAAACAATTTTTACGCATCAGACACTATAGAAAATTTAGAAAATTATGAAACTTAACAAAGAAGTATGCTATATTATCAAGGCTACGGATCGTTACGAATTTAAAAAAATGTTGTATTTTAATGTATTTCATGTAATTTTTATTAAGAATTCTTTTCTTAAAAGTTGGTTTGAATTTGTGTAAATTATGCTGCAGTTTAGAGCGGCCGTTTTGAACAGTTGTTGTCCCCAAATTTGTTGTGGTTCCGAGGAAACAAAGTTTGTATTTTCACACCGTCTTCGAAATTTGCTCCGAGGTTAACTTTTAGCAACTTCCGGCCGGCTTTTGGTTTTCCGCAACTTTTGAGGTCAATTTTTCTCTGAAAAACAACCTTGAGAAGGACCTGGCAAACCCTTACAAACATTCTCAGACTGTTTTTCTTCGCAATTCATGGCTGCTGACTGCTTCAGGTTTTATTCACCGACCACTTATGTCTGATCGTCGTGACGGTTCCCATAGCTATTGTAGCGGTTCTCAAATGTCGTTTAGCATTTGTATTTGTGTGTAGTCCTTAGTGTTCCAGTAACCCGTGTTCTCTCCACGCTTTCGGAGTACCAAATGTCTGGGCTTTTCTCAGGCTTGAAAACTTAAGCCTAATTTTCCGCTAGCATGTGTCATGGCCACCAAAAACCCTGGAAAAATTTTTGAGAAGAAAAACGCTTTTCAAGCCAGCTGAAGCTTGGTTTACCTGGCTTGTCGTCTTGGCTTAATTCTAAATTTCAGAACCTTTCTTTTTTGCTGACTTATTGCCGATTCAAGAATTTATAGGTTTATTCACACAGAGGTTACAAAGTATCGCGGCTTCCTGTACAGTCGGTAGACCAAATAAAGTGCAAAATACAAAATGCTGAGCTTACTTCCATTTTGTCCAAAACATTTTGCCGTAATTTCATTTTGTCGAAGTTCCAACGTCTTTTTGCGTTGATTTTTCATCTTAACGATTTTGCAAATTGAATTGCAGATTGCAAAAATATTTGTTGAAGTCAATAGAGCTGTCCTAATGTGTTTACTGCCGTTAATTCCTACTGTAGGCTGGCACAAAGCATTCATGCCTGCTCATAATGTTCTTCAGACCATAAATAATTTCTGACTAAGAAATTTACCTTGTTTTAGAGCCCTGGTGATGCTCGAAATGCTGTGTGTGTGCCAATTTAGCCTGGCTATTATATAGCGCTACATTATCGCAGAAAAATTCTAAATAGATTGCGAGCAAATACGCGGATGAGCGCGACGACGCTGCGAGCGCAGAAGGACTTGATTATGGTAGAAAACAGAATCCAGAGACGTATGATAAAAACGATTTAGGCCCTGATGATTCAGGCCATCATCCCTGTACTCTTTGTTTCTGCTTCCAGCTTTTATATGTGGAAGCAATTTCGGCTCCCGTAGGTTGACAGAGTGAGAGAGAGACGTAGAGAGAGAGAGAGACAGAGTGAGAGTCGGAGGGAGAGTGAGAGAGAGGCAGAGAAAGAAAGTTACCTTGCAAAGTTAGGATAAAGCCGAAGTCTCAGGTTCGCCGACCAAGTCCCGGAAATCCCCGAAATTATGGCGATATGGTCAATGGTAAGCTTTTTTAAAAGGACCGAAACATCAAAAATTCCAAAAAAACTACAAGCCAAAATTCAGATCGTATCCATCGCGCCTTGCATGACGTTGTACTATGTACGGCCCTACAGATACCAGCTTCTGAAGTGGCTGCACGTTGTCAAGCCGAAAAATGCTAACAGGACACAAGAACCTAAAGAAAACAAGTTCGAAGCCAGTTCAGGACTAATCGGCTAAAATTTAGCCTGAATAAAATTAGATTCTATGATGTATCAATCGCGAAAATAGGCTATCCTACGATACAACCACTCACTGCAGAAAGTACCATAGTAAGACCTCCGAAGTTAAAATTGATAAATTAACAAATAAATCATGCGCCGAATACAGACGGATTTCGCGGCTCCCATTAATGCGCGGATCGCAGATTCGTGAATGAAAGTTTTCAACCTCTCCTTAATGCGCATTCCATGCCTCGGGGCACTGGTGGCTTTTCTTCTTCTCACTTTTCTTTTTCATCTCTTCTCACCCCCAACTAGCGCCCGCCCGTTTGAAAATGCTTTCGGCTCGTAAACGTTTGGCCGACTACATTCGCGGCTCGATCCCCCGCCGATTCCCCCACCTGCTCCGCAAAATCAGCTGCATGGCCACGAAAATCGGCGACGCCGTCCCGAAATGCTCTTCGGATGATGTGCAGAAGGTAATTTTTGGTCTAGAGAGTGTTTAGAACGTTATAATAGGTTTAAATTGACTATTTATACTAGAAAAATCGGAAACGTTTGCAAGGAACGCTTGAAAATATGTGTTTTTTGCTGAAATAAGCCTTTGTTGGTATGAAAATAGCGGATTATTGTACTAAAAGGGTATTTTGAGGCCTAGTAGGTTTTAGAAAGCTTTAATAACCTTAAATCGACTTTTTATACTAGGGAAATCGTAAAATTTTGTCAATTAGGCATATGTAACATGAAATTCCGGGTTTTACTGTCTAAAAATTGTCTAATCCACTTTTTACGTATAAAATTTTCCGAACATGGTCTTTAGAAGGTTTTTATAGCTTTCGAATGACGTTTTGTAGTGCAGAAAAACTCAATTTCTTCAGTAAGACGTAAAAATAATCACTTTGGCTAATATTAAGGTTTTGACCACTCTAAACGAATAAAATTTTCGGTAATTAGTGTATTCCCGACTATTTATTAATTTAAACAAATAATTTTGCTTTAGGAAGACAAGGAAATCGACAATCGATGCGCAACGAAAGTCCAACAAGCTTGGGAATGCTGCGACACCGGTTACAGCACTAATTCGGAGGTGAATTTTTGTTTTTCCGTATTAAAAATTTTTTCAGGCAAAGGAGAGCGCTTGCTGCTCGGAGCGCGAAATCGAGGCCGAGCTGAAGGCTCTGGGTTTGAAGGACGACGAGAAAGCCGAGAAAAGCCCAGACGAGGACAAGTTCGTCTTCCACTATGACCCGAAGGCTGCTTTTAACGCTGCAGAGGTTGGGATTTCTTGGAAAGCTTTATTGTCTTATTTTTTTAGGAAAACAAAGAAAACGAGGAAGAGTCGGACGCGGATGAGGAGGAAGAGGAGAGCGCTTGCACCCTTCAGCCAGTCTGCCCACTTCCGGAATTGATTAAGGTGGGGTTTCATTAGTTTTTAAAGATTATTTTTTTAGGTAGTAACTGGCGAGGAGGACGAGGAGGTGTTGTTTCAAGCGCGCTGCAAGTTGTACCGTTTCGACCGGGAGTCGCGTGAGGTGCAGGAGCGCGGGCTTGGCGAGATGAAGGTGAAGAATTAATTAAAAAACGTTTAGTAATTGAGGAAACCGTATAATGCAAACATTCGTGCTTTTAAACAAATTTGGAAAGTTCGGGCATTCATAAAAAGTCTAAGAATCCGTTTTCTTAGTTAAATCCGCATGTTAAAGAAGTAAACAGTGCAAAATGCGGCGGATATTCTTTATTATTTGTTTTATAAGTTTAGCAAATGTTGTTATACCTTAAGCTAGTGAGTACAAAGCTTATTACGTGGGTATATTCCCAGATTGGCTCGAAATTTACAAATTTGCGAGCTATCGGGTCTCCAAATAGTATTACTTAACGTACCTTTATATTTTACCTTTTTAGGTTCTGAAAAACCCGAAGAGCGGCCGAATGCGTTGCGTCATGCGCCGCGAGCAGATCCTGAACTTGTGCGCCAATTTCCCGATCGTCGCCCAGATGGAGATCAAGCCCAAGGCCGGCACCGACGAGACGGCCTCTTCTTTGTCAGGTACAACTTTTTTAGTATATTTTCACGTTCTTCGTTTTAGGACTTTTCGGAGTGCGATGACGGCGAGGGCCAGACGTTCTACGCTCGTTTCCGCACCGGCGCCATCCGCGAGCGCTTCATCAATCTTTTCCGCGAGGGCGTCGCCGCTTTTCAGTGATTGTGTGTGAATATTAATATTTCTGAATTGATCTCGCCTTTTTTGTTGTTTGAATTTGAATATTACACTTTGCCATTTGCCATTATACGTTGTTCGGGTTGCAATAAAGCCTTGTGAGTTTGAAAAAAGCTTTTCTCTCGCGTAGAACGCACTTTTATGGCTTAGCTATGCAGACCTAAATGCGGAATTCGTCGAATTGACTAGCTTTTCACAGGCAAATGGACCACGGATTGAGGTCGAGTTTCGTCCAAAAGTATCGTAAGAATTGTTGAAAAATTATTTTATACTAGTCTCCTAAACCCTTTTATGACGATATACTACGTTTTACCTTATCGCCGAACAGTATCGAAACTCTACTGCTTCTTGCCGAAGATCAAGGAGTTCACTGAGCGAATCTACAGCGAGACCAAAATTTCACGGCTTATTGTTAGGGATTCGAAGTTCCCCGTTACCAAGGATCTGTTTTAAGAACAATAAATCCCGTCTTCTTGGTTGAGATGGCAGTTTACAAAGCACTTTTTGTTAAATTGCTCCTACAGGCAAATCAAATAGCCAAAAATCCAATAAGTACTCCTTGCATTCTTGTATGCATTTTTAATCTCACCTGCCAAAGTTTTTCGAATTACTTTTCGGAGATGGATATTGGCTTTGATGTTTCCGCTTAATCCTCTTTGGCGGAGTGACGAGAATTGATTTACATCGCCTGGTCGATTTATAAGCCAGAATCTGGGTTCCTGCTTGAATAACTTTGTCTAGCGTTACCGGATCGAGGAAATATAGTAAGTCGTAATTCCTAGAAAGTCAAGGTTTTATTATTTCAAGGGGGAATTTCTTCTAATCGAACAGCATAGATCTCTGGATAATTTTGGTTTTTTTTAAACTTCGAGGTCCTCAATGCGCCCAAAAATTGGCAAAACATTATAGTGAGCATTGATACAAATCCCATCGAAGAGATTTTTAATTTTTGCGATAATTTCCGAATTCCCAACTGGGCACGAATTAACATACATCGTGGCTAATCTTCGATTTTCAAGGCGTTGTGTTTCTTCGAATCCTGATCCAAATACTTGGATATTCTTTCTATTCTCTAGATGATCGACACTTGCCTATGGGAGCTTCGAAATACAGGGTATCCCAATAAAAAAGGTCACGCTGGCATTTTGTCATTTCAAATCCGATCGACTTGAAATTTTGCACAGAGCTGCGGGAGGCAATTTAAAATGTTCACAGAAACTTTCAGCCCGATCGGAACAGTAGTTTTCGAGTTATTGCAAAAATAAACTTTATTTTACGTTTTTAACCTGGATTTCGTCGGAATTGAGCCTTGGAATGTATGGCAAAAAATCAAGCGCCGACCCTTTTTTTTGCCCCAGAAAATTTTTTATTTCGTCAAATTCGTTTTGGAAATAAGTTGTTTAAATCATTTTAACAAGGTGTTATCATCCCCGATGTTAAGAAGAATGAGGGATTTAGGGCCGAAATTGATGGTAATTGATGCAAAGTCCAAAAAGATAGCCGAAAAAATGAAGCAAAAGTGTTGAAAAAACAGTATTTTTGTTGTAACTTGAAAACTACTGTACCGATCGGGCTGAAAGTTTCTGTGAACATTGTAAATTCCCTTCCGCAGCTCTGTTCCAAATTTAAGATCGAACAGATTTGAAATGGCGAAATGCCAGCGTGACCTTTTTTATTGGGACACCCTGTATATTTTTCGTTGGTGCCCATCATGTACTTGATATTTCCGCAATGATTCTCAACACGGTTTTGCTATATTTAATTTTATTTCATACTTCCAAGTCGTTCCGGAGCTACTCGATCATTTTAGGAGTGTAAGAAACTCGAAGCATACTAATAGCCTTCAAACAGTGTTTAAAAAATTGAGAAACTATACTTTAAAGACAGATAGCTTGATAATAACTTTGAAAATGACCACTTTTCGAAACGAAGAAAATACAATCGAACGTGGTAAACAAGACCAATAGTTAAACATTGTAATAAAATTAATACGTTGCGATAAAAACTTGAAATTTGTATTTTTTTTAGTATTGCCTTTGCCGATGCTTGGACCGGACTCTCCGGATGGCTGTCGATGACTAGGTAATTAAAATTAAAATAAGTTTAATACCGAAATAAGAACCCATCCGATGGGCCGATCATTAATTTATGAATTCTCTGGAGTATGTCAAAGGATATCGGCTCAATTTTGTCTAGACAGTAACTGGATTTTCGAGCACTTTGAACCAAATTTTAGTGCACTCCGTCCTCTGCCATTTTTCCGCTTATAACCACTGCGTGATGCCACTCTCTTTTTTGGTAATTTTCAAAACTTAAAAAGGTTGAAATACCGTAAAAAACGAAACGGCTAAAGCTTTAACTTTTTGAGGTATCGCCACTATATTCTAACGGACACGCCACCAGAGCAGGGTTGTTCACCGATGGACCCGGATCGGTAAGGATCCGGATCGGGTCTGGATCCGGATCCGGATCGGATCCGCAGTAGGATCCGGATCCAGATCCAGATCCCGATCCGCTCGGATCCGGATCCAATGCGGATCCGAGGAAAAAAGGGACCGGAAGTAATATTCTCGATTCTGATGCTGATTCGGTCATGTTAATCGCAAAAATACATAGCCCAGAGGCAGAACTGATCTTTGCATCTAAGAATTAGCACTTAACTCGGTTGCATGATCCATTTCCTTGGATCCGGATCGGATCGGATCCGCCCTGGATCTGGATCCGGATCCGGATCCTACGGCGGATCCGGATCCGGATCCGATCCAGATCCAGATCCGGATCCAGTCCGATCCGAAAATGACCAACCCTGCACCAGAGCCAAAACGGATCGCTTTATTATTGCTAGTTCTTTATGTACCTTCTTTGGTTGCTATGGTAATTTTAATTCAAATTTTGAGTTTTCAATTATTAAAAGTATTAAAGATAAACATTATTTAGGTAGCTTTTGACGTCTCAACATCCAATTCTACAGTAATTTACCACATTCTTGAAGCTCATAATTTTATTACAAGTGGAACGACAGTTTTTGCGGGCTATGAGAAGTACTATCAAAATAGTGAGTTTAAAGGGGCTCCGAACTGCCAAATCAAAGCCCTTTTGGGAGGCCTCTTTGATTTCTGGCAAATTGCCAGCGGGCGCGGCGGGACGAGAGCCCTCACTCTTTCGATTTTTGCGCGAAATTGCTTTTGCCCGGTTTCCTTGTCAAAACACTCCAATTTGCGCATTCTAAGCCCATTTTTGAAATCCTCACTCAATTTTAAATAGTTTTGGTGTTTTAATCATCAAATTTGGCCCAGAAACAACCGAGAACGTGATTTCGAGGTGACAACAGGCCATTTCAAATTTGCGAGCTTCCCGCGCCCATGGGTGTACAGAGGTCTCTCACGTACAGGGCTCCGATTTTCAGGCCGTCACTCAATTTTTGGCATTTCGTTGCCCCTTTAAAGGGATCATTACAGCAACATTTTAGTGCTCTCGTGACCCTAACTGTTCTTTGCCTCCCGGTATTCCCGGGGTACTGTATGGCCCTGTACTACCGTAGCCAAATTTTGCGAAAGCTGGATGCAAACAGCAAGATGAGTGCTGGGACGCGGAGGGCGCAGAAGGATTTGGTGAAGGTGTGAAAACCATGAAGCAAATCTTTACCACAAATCAGTTATTAAGCTAGAAATCCACTCATTTTTGTACCTATTTTTTTATCAATTAAGAATATTTCTTAAGGATATTAAGGATATTTCATATTTCTAGGCATTAACAATTCAAGCAATGCTGCCATTTGGAATGCTCTACGGCTCTTCGTGTTTTATGTGGAGACAAATGGAGCTACCGTATTTATTATTTGCCTTTTTTAACGAATTTTTTGTTTTCCGAGTGTTTTTCATCCTTAGATACCTTCTGTACTTTACTATGTCGTAGGATACCTTAGAATAGGAATGCTCTATACCTCTCGTCTTCCAAAAAACGATTTTCAATCAATGAGTTTTTTCGATAGACCGATCAGACAAGTATAAGCCCTTGTTTGAGCTACTCCAACTACGTGCCCTTCTTCGAGGAGCTGGTCATCACCATGTCGATCGTCACCTCAGCTTCCCCCTGTGTTACATTATACTATGTACGTTCGTATCGGCATCGCCTCCAAAAATTGCTACGCTGCAAGACCCGCGCCGAGAAATTTCAAGTCAACACCGAGGCGTCAGCCCACGTCACCGAGACGGGTGCCGGCTCACAAAATACATGAAATGTCGACGAACTTGTATGATTGTGACTGTCTTGAGCCTTAAACTTTAATAAATACCACCGAATTATGCTCCATAAATAAGCTCGAATTGAGCTCTTGGAAAAAAAGTTCAGCAAGTGCACAATAGGACCTAAAACGCACCCTAGAAAACAATCACCTTTCCAGGTGCCAATTGGATTGCAGAGTTTGCGCCGTAGTTAATTCCTGGTCCCTAGCGATTTTCGAGACAAGAAAATAGTCGTAAAAGGCCGGAAATGAATTTTGTATTGTTGCAAGGTGGCCTGGAAGCTGTTTTTCTCTCGAAAAAAAAATTATAATTTCGTCCGGGTCTTGAAAAAAAGCGGTTTTTTTTAATTTTCTCGTTCGCTGGAAAATAGTTTTTCGATTGCGTGGGTTTCACGAAATCCTTACAGCTTTCGACAACCATCCAAAAACACCAAAATTACAACCCTCACCCTGAAATTTGCCAAAAAAGTGGCAACATTTTCCCATGTAAATCAGCACCAAGTGCGCGCTGATTATTAAAACACAACCCACCCCAATAGTCTCTTCGTTTTCTCCTTACCGCCCCCAACAGTTCTCACGCACATTGTCCCGCGTAGTCGTCCTTTCAAGCTATTGCTCGGGTTTGGGCACATTCGCGTGTACCCAGACACTTTTCGATTTTAGCTATTCTTATTTTCGCTAAATTTCGGGTTAGTTAACTCACTCTCTCTCTCTCTCTCTCTCCTCTCTCTCTCTCTCTCTCCTCTCTGTCTCTCTCTGTCACACTCTCGCTAGCACTCTTTCGCCCTTTATCTAGCTCTCTCTCTCCCTCTCTCTCTCCTTCTCGATCTCTCTCTGTCTCTCTCCCTCGATCTCACTCGCTCTTTCTCTCTCTTTCTCTCTCTCGTTCTTTCTGTCTCTCAACTGTCTTCACAGCCACCATGCTT